TCTGTAAAAAATAACATTATTGTAATGTTTCGTATTTATTCAACTGTAAAGTAGAGTAAAGAAAAGAAGACAAAGATAGTGAAAAAATTACTTTGCGTCATTGATTACGTTAGGATAGCTTGCTCCAAATTTGCATATATATATTGCGTGTCATAATCTCTTTTGCAAAGTAAAGAATGTTGGTTTTATTTGTTTTTGGTTTTATCATAAAGGAGCCCGTGTTTAGTTATAAAAAAGCACCTTGACCGTCAACATCTTGTTTAAAGAAGGAAATAAAACCCTCCTTGGAAACAATGCAGACACCGGGCAAGTTTTGTTTTCACCATCAGTTAATATTTCTTTTGTAATATTTAAAGCAGTGTACGCGTTAGACTTCATGCACTTTTTCTTACGCTCTATACCCATAAATCTGAAAGAAAATATTATTTCATTACATTTATATGACATTTCATCGCTTACATTTCACCCAAACCCCAGGTGTTACCAACAATTTGGTCCAGTATCTCAACTTGACACATGTTGAAAAAGCAAAGGTACGGCCTTAATGCTGATATTTGGTCTTTAACTAAATATAACCTTGACCTTTTAGGTCAATGTCAAATGTTTAAACCTTTTAAACCTTCATATCTTCATAATTGCGGAAACTACGCCCATATTTCAAAATAAAAATATGCCGATTAAGAATAAAAAAAATCATGCAAAACACATTTTGCTGAATAATATCGAGACACGACAAGGAGAATATGAAGATAACTGATAGATTCAGTCTTTAAATGAGCCGCGTCATGACAAAACCAACATAATGGGTTTGCGACCAGCATGGATCCAGACCAGTCTGATTAGGATCCATGCTGCTCGCTTACCAACTCTATAACAAGTAGAAGAACTGATAGCGAACAGCATGGATCCTGATTAGACTTTGCAGATGCTCAGGCTAGTCGGGATCCATGCTGGTTGCAAACCCATTATGTTGGTTTTGTCATGACGGGGCTCAAATGTTTATAGAAATCTTAACTTTATAAGCTTTAATTGTTTACTTTACAAGCTTTAAATGAGTGAGAACGGAAACGTAAGAAGGGCTTTCATTTAGTGTGATTGCGATGTAAGTAGACTGACCTTTATTTGACTTAATTAGATATTTAAATGGAAATCAATTGATTTTATTCACAAAGACTTCACCATTTTTTTGCAATGTGAATAAAATCAGTTTGATTTGTGTTAAAACCTGTAACCAAATCGAAAAAAAAAATCAGTCGACTTGTTCACGATTTGCAACGTGTAAAACCAACGATCATCAATTTGGCAATTTGTAAAGACTGTCGTAAGATTTTGGAACTTTCGAGCGACGACCGTGCGACAGCCTAAGACATTAAAAGACCACTAGCAACCTGTTTGATCGCAAAGAGGTTTTGTGCAAGCTCAAAAACCTCTCTATGACTGAAATTGGTCGTGGGACGGTCATGGTAAGAATGCAAAAAGATCAGCTGTTTTTCGTAGTTTAATGATGGTTCAATAAATAATGTTGTTGTTGTAATGTTGTTGTTAAAAATGTTTTTCTAACACTGGCAAATCATGTTAGAACATAAACATGATCAATAAGATGGCCGTGAAGTACGCGAGCTAACGGGCATCCGGTCTAGCGGCCTTACAGTGTGAACTGGGCGGGCTAGCAGTCTAGAGGTACAACAGTGTGAACTGGGCGAGCTAGCAGTCTAGCGGAATAACAGTGTGAACTGGGCCAGCTAGCAGTCTAGCGGAATAACAGTGTGAACTGGGCGGGATAGCCTTCTAGCGGTCTAGCAGTGTGAACTGAGCGAACTGGCGGGGCAGCAGGGTAAACTCTAAAACTAACCTGATCAAACATTACGTTAACAAAAACGTTACGTGGGCTAGCAGTGTGAACAGGGTGGGCTGGTGGATCAGCGGGATAAACTTAAATACTTAATTGAATCAACAATAAAACCCCATGATGCATTTCCTTGCAGAGTGAATTGGGCAGGCTGACAATGAAGCAGGGTAACAGTGTGATCTGGCCGCCATCCCGCTCAGTTCACACTGCTATCCCGCTTCACTGTTAGCCCGCCCATTTCGAGCTGATAGGGAATGTTTCATAACGTTTTAATGTTGATTCAATTAAGTTTAAAAGTTGATTCCGCTAGCCTGCCATCCCGCTCAGTTCACACTGCTAGACCGCTAAACTGCTAATCCGCACAGTTCACACTGTGATCCCGCTAGACTGATAGCTCGCTCGTTGTAAGCCAGCCACTTCACACTGCCAAGTAATGTATCATGACGTTTTCATGTTGAATCCGTTAAGTTTTAGAGTTTATGCCGCTGGCCCGCCAGCCCGCCCATTAGACACTGCTAGGCCGCTACACTGTTAGCCCGCCTACTTCACACTGCCTGGTTAGGTATCATAACGTTTTCATGTCCAACCAGTTAAGTTTTAGAGTTTATGTCGCTGGCCCGCCAGCCCACCCATTAGTCACTGCTATCCCGCTACACTTATTGCCCGCCAACTTCACACTGCCAGGCAATGTATCATAACGTTTTAATGTTCAATCAGTTAAGTTTAGAGTTTAAACTTCTGGCCCGCCAGCCCGCCAGTCCGCCAGCCCACCCAGTCACACTGCTAGAACGCAACACTGTTAGTCTGCCCACTTCACACTGCCAGGGAATAATCATGAGGTTTTAATGTTGATTGAATTAAGTATAAGAGTTGAGTCCGCTGGCCTGCCAGCCTGCCCAGTTCACACTGCTAGCCCGCTTCACTGTTAGTCCGCCCATTTCACGCTGCTAGGAAATGTTTCTTTACGTTTTCATGTTGATTCAATTAAGTATGAAAGTTGATCCCGCTGGTCCGCCAGTCCGCTCAGTTCACACTGCTAAAACGCAACACTGATATCCCGCCCACTTCACACTGCTAGGATATGTATCACAACGTTTTCATGTGTAATCAGTTAAGTTTAAAGGTTTATCCCGCTGGCCCGCCAGCTCGCCCATTTCACACTGCTAGACCGCTAGACTGCTAGCCCGCACAGTTCACACTGTTATCCCACTAGACTGCTAGCCCGCCCAGTTCACACTGTTATCCCGCTAGACTGATAGATCGCTCGGTTCACACTGTAAGGCCGCTAGACTGCTAGCCCGTTAGCCCGCGTACTTCACGGCCTTATCAATAAGTGCATTATGTTCTATCAAAATCGTCTGTTTTTCTTATAATTCCTTTGTCCAATTTCTAAAATGTTTAACTGTTTAACATTAAAAGATTGATTTTCATTACCCTTTGCGATATTCAAGCGATAAAATGTGTTCCATTTCCTGGAAAACTTTTAGTTTCATTGGACATTTTTTAGTGGTGTGTCTTATTTTAGCCATACAAAACAGAGACTGTTGATTTATCTTTTTTTCCACTCTGTATTTTGAGTGGGTTTTACTTTACGCCGACACTGGTAAAGTTACAATGACTTTCCATGTTATAGATCATTAAGGATATAACAACACTTAAGTGAAATTCTATTTATGTATATAATTATTCTTCTAAAACAATTTCCAAACATCCAAGAATATGTTAAATATGTGAATGACATTGGCATTATAAGTAATCATTAAGATATTATAATGTATGCATTCATTTCTTACTGAAAAATTTGGCTAAGACTTTATCGAAAATAAATTTCTATTTACTTCCCTTTATTTACATGAACTGTAAATTCAGTGATATCTTTACAAATTAATGTTTTCTTGAACGTACAATATTGATAAATCTTCATTTGACCATCATATTTATATATATATCATAAATTTGACTGACAAGATCTATAAATGGTTAACGATGACTTACTTCAGGCACTAGAGACTACCTCATTGTAATAACTTACTTCTGTTAAAAAAAACTAGATAGCATTCTTTTGTCATATGACAGAATGGAAAGTAAACGAATAAAGTGTAACCCTTAGTTAAGGGGGCTTACGTCATATAAGAAAAATAATAAACAAAAAGAACAAAACATGTTGTTTCGTGTAAGATCTTTTATTGTAGAAAAAATAGTAAAATTAGTAAAAATCGTAGAGACATGGCACTCGTATAAAATGAGATAATATAAATTGAGTAGATCAAATCTTAAAAAGTAGCAAAGATGTATGTAATAAATCATATGTGTTCACTTAGTATTTAGAGAGCTTCGTTATACGTAGATATATGTGTTTTTATACAGTCAAGTATTGTAACGTGAAATGGAAGCCGAATACCGTGTATCATTATTATTTTTCACATTTTTTTTTTGCAAATTAATAAAAATTTTGAGCAATTTGTTATAGCTGAATGTGTTTTGTTGAACAATATAAAATCATGTGTTGGTTGGGTTCAAGTCACATCATCTCCAGCTTTTCTGGTGGAGGAAGACCTCTGGACCTCATGTGCCTCTCCATACATTATTTTAGACATGAGCGGGCATCTGGGTAAAATAACCAATGTTCTGCTAGCTAGTTCGGTAGCTTCCTCACATGAAAAAGTTCAAAATACACCAGAGGGATTCGAACCAACAGCGGTGAGGGACGTGTGACTGGAACTCAATGCCTTATAAATTGGCCACGAACGCCATGGATAATATAACAATAGGCATGAATCCATTTCAGTTATTCTACTGTTTTTTCTTTCAGAAAAGATAACAAATATATTTTGAACCACTACTTTTGTAATAAGAGCAAACAGCTTTCATATGTATAATATCTAAATGCGTATAAGACAGATCACTTCTATCATAAAAAATCAAAGATGAAAAAGTTGCAGTATGGACTATCACAATGAACACTACTTTTACAGTGTATATGGAAAGCGAATAAAATTGTAAGTGCTGACAATGTCAATAATGAATATAAAATATCAGTTCGGTATAGTTGAGAAGCAGTTTATCACAATATTTCTAAAATGAGTGTTTTTTTTCTCCATGGAATACATTATATCTACATCACCTACATGTAGATATATTCTAATTTCTTGAAAAAGTCTTGTAAAAAACTTATCTAAGATTTATATTTTATCACAATTTGCATATTAAGTCTCATTTCTAGGGTAAAAAAACTATGGATTAATTTGTAGGCTTGCAGACCCTGATATGTCGGCAATTTCTTTACTATCAAAGCTGAAGTACACGGCTGCTTTCTTCTTCGCTTTCAAAGCCGGTAATGTGAATTCCTGTCTGTAGGTCCCTTTAGCAGGAACATCCCTGTTGAATGAATGAAAAATATATGATACTTTGAAAAAAGCATTATTGGGATCAATGATTGAATATTGCTGAAGTAAAATATGAGCATTTAGGGCCCTCACAGAGGAGAAAAAATGATTGTGTTGCGCTATTTTTTTGTGCAAAACCTTTTTATAACATAATATGTATACACTAACAATGTTTACATCAAAGTTTTACATTTTAACAAATAAATAGTATAATTATGATACTTATTTTGCAACAAACAAACAAACAAACAAACAAAACAAACAAACTTATACGCATTTATATATGGCAGTAGTTCTTTGATCCTTCAAATTAGGCAATTTTATGATGTTTAAAGTGGCAGACGATGAACAGTAAGAATAACCCGGATTAAATTTGAATTATAACAACAATGTTTCTCCCCACAATTGAAACTTATAAACATGATTAAGCCATTATTTGGTAATGAGTTTGGCACTGATGTAACTAAAAATATACATGTGTGTTCCTGTTTCAGGAGGCTTAAGTTAATTAAATGCATTTCATTAAATTTCGAGTTTTTTCTTCCCTTTTTTAGGAGGGTTGGGGATTGGTATGGGGTCGGCTCACTCATTGGCTGTTTTTAGATTTGAAACAAACAATGATTATTACGAACATTTCCAACTTCAAGTAATGTACAGTGGTTTTTCTTCTTAAACTGATATTTCCTCTTATCAAAATACTCAAAATTTATTAGCATAATATGAGCCGTGTCATGACAAAACCAACATAATGTGTTTGCAACCAGCATGGATCCAGACCAGCCTGCGCATTCCAGCATTCTGATCAGGATCCATGCTGTTCGCTTACAAACCCTAGAACAAGTAAAGAAACTGATAGCAAACAACATGGATCCTGATCAGACTGCACGGATGCGCAGGCTGGTCTGGATCCATGCTGGTCGCAAACCCATTATGTTGGTTTTGTCGTGACATGGCTCATATATACAAAAGAATCACTGAGGATAACTTACACGACTGGAAGGTCATCGAAGTCCTTAAAGCCGATACTTTCCATTGAAATGTTACAGCATGTAAGTGGCTTATCTAGAGGGTTGTCAAAGCTTACTACGAATGTAGTGTTTTCTCCACATTTTGTCTCGTCTGGGCACTAACAATAGAACAGTTTCAAAATTCTATTAACAGTTATATACAATATTTATGGTCATTCATTTCTATAATCGTAGTTTAACAATGTTTGTTCCAAGGCGAACTAATTAGCTGTCCAGGCCAACCATGAGGTGAGAATAATTATTGATATAAGACAGAGGGCAATCGTGAAAACTGCACTAGTTTGCTGCGAACTGCAGGTAAAACGTGTCATATTCTAGAAGCCTAGGTTGTAATGTACAAATGGCATAGTAAAGCATGTGCTTCGGGCATATTTTATCATGAAATGATGTTTTACTGGCCTCGTATGTCATGTACGACGGACTTAGTTTGTCATATACCACTCTTTTTGTATGTCATGTACAAGGGGAATAGTTTGCCATGTACCAAAGGCATAGAATACCATGTAATACGGACCTAGTTTGTTTTGAACAATAAGCAAAATATGTCATGTACTACGGACATATCTTGCGATGAACAACAAGCAAGGTATGTCATGCTCTACACGCATAGTATATTGTGTACTATAGATGTAGTGTGCCATGTGAAAAAGGCGCTGAGTGTCCTGTACTATGGACGTATTTGTCATGTACGATGGACGTATTTGTCATGTCCGATGGACGTAGTGTGTCATGTACGATGGACGTAGTGTGTCATGTACTATGGACTTACTGGTCATGTATTATAGACGTAGTGTTTCATGTACTATGGACGTAGTGTGTCATGTATTATGGACGTAGTGTGTCATGTATTATGGACGTAGTGTGTCATGTACTATGGACGTAGTGTGTCATATACTATGGATGAAGTGTGTCATGTACTATGTACGAAGTGTGTCATGTACTATGTACGTAGTGTGTCATGTACTATGTACGTAGTGTATCATGTACTATGGGCGTAGTGTGTCATGTACTATGGACGTAGTGTGTCATGTACTATGGGCGTAGTGTGTCATGTACTATGGACGTAGTGTGTCATGTAATATGGACGTAGTGTGTCATGTATTGTGGACGTAGTGTGTCATGTACTTTGGATGTAGTGTGTCATGTACTATGGACATAGTGTGTCATGTATTGTGGACGAAGTGTGTCATGTACTATGGACGTAGTGTGTCATTTACTATGGACGTAGTGTAACATGTACTATGGACGTAGTGTGTCAAGTACTATGGACGTAGTGTATCAAGTACTAAAGACGTAGTGTGTCATGTACTATGGATGTAGTGTGTCATGTACTATGGACGTAGTGTGTCATGTACGTTGGATGTAGTGTGTCATGTTCTATGGACGTAGTGTGTCATGTACTATTGACGTAGTGTGCCATGTACGATGGATGTAGTGTGTCATTTACCATGGACGTAGTGTGTCATGTACTATAGACGTAGTGTATCATGTACTATGGACGTAGTGTGTCATGTATTATGGACGTAGTGTGTCAAGTACTATGGACGTAGTGTGTCAAGTACTATGGACGTAGTGTGTCATTTACGATGGACGGAGTGTGTCATGTACTATAGACGTAGTGTATCATGTACTATGGACGTAGTGTGTCATGTACTATGGACGAAGTGTGTCAACTGTCAAGTACTATGGATGTAGTGTATCATGTACTATAGACGTAGTGTGTCATGTACTATGGACGTAGTGTGTCAAGTTTTTATGGACGTAGTGTATCATGTACTATGGACGTAGTGTGTCATGTACTAGGGACGTAGTGTGTCAAGTACTATGGATGTAGTGTATCATGTACTACAGACGTAGTGTGTCATGTACTATGGACGTAGTGTGTCAAGTTCTATGGACGTAGTGTGTCATTAACGATGGACGGAGTGTGTCATGTACTATAGACGTAGTTTATCATGTTCTATGGACGTAGTGTGTCATGTACTATGGACGTAGTGTGTCAAGTACTATGGATGTAGTGTATCATGTTCTATAGACGTAGTGTGTCATGTTCTATTGACGTAGTGTGTCAAGTACTATGGACGTAGTGTGTCATGTACGATGGATGTAGTGTGTCATGTACTATGGACGTAGTGTGTCTGTACTATGGACGTAGTGTGTCATGTACTATGGACGTAGTGTGTCTGTACTATGGACGCAGTGTGTCATGTACTATGAACGTATTGTGTTAAGTACTATGGATGCAGTGTGTAATGTACTGTGTACGTAGTGTGTCATGTACTATGGACGTAGTGTGTCATGTACTATGGACGTAGTGTGTCATGTACTATGGACGTAGTGTGTAAAGTACTATGGACGTAGTGTGTCAAGTACTATGGACGTAGTGTGTCCTTTACGATGGACGGAGTGTGTCATGTACTATAGACGTAGTGTATCATGTACTATGGACGTAGTGTGTCATGTACTATGGACGTAGTGTGTCAAGTACTATGGATGTAGTGTATCATGTACTATAGACGTAGTGTGTCATGTACTATGGACGTAGTGTGTCAAGTACTGTGGATGTAGTTTGTAATGTACTTTGGACGTAGTGTGTCAAGTACTATGGATGTAGTGTGCCATGTACTATGAACGTAGTATGTCAAGTACTGTGGACGTAGTGTATTATTTACTACTTTGTTCTTCGGGCACATTTAAGGATGTACCTCAACATCAATGTCTGGTCGACGGAATCTTGCATCAGCTTCCTCTCGTACAATTTGTTCAGGTTCACCATCACATGGTTCAACATAAGCTGTTGCTACAATACTAATAAGCGCCTGATCAACAAGATGTTCCAAATATTCAGCAGGCTCTAAAACTGTTTCAAACACCTTCTCTGAAAATTCAAATCAAACATACATATACATATTTAGATATTAAGAATTTACATAACATACTAGGTTTGGATTAAATAGTATGCTAGTATTTGTTCTTATAAATAGCTACATGCTAGTATTTGTTCTTATAAATAGCTACATGTATACGCGTTCCATAAATAGATGAAACAGTTTTCTTCTCGAATAAATAATGTTATTTTATCATCAGTAGAATTGAAGTTATATTTTTATAAAAGACTATGAAGCTCGAAAAAGATATGATAGATAAGTGAATATTAAGAAATAAACAGACTCTTACAATGATAATAGTACGATATTGAAAATAGAAAACAATCGCATGTTACCTTCATTTCCGGCCAACACCTGGTCTGAAAATAATTTCCTGTGGAATATCTTTGTATGATGACCAGTATAGGCCTGAGGTGAAGCAGATAAAACAAGTATTGGAATTTTTCTTTCTTTACTTCCGGCGTTCTTTGCCGTGAATCTAACCGCCATTTTCTCGCCAATCATGACGTCATCAAAAGACAGGCTAAACTGAAGTGGCTGTTAAAGATACAGTGTATAAATAAAAATTCTAGAGCGTGACTTCAATTATTTTCGATTTTAGTTTTGAACAGTATTTAATTTTATTCCACTCATTTTACTGTTGGTTTTACGTCGAACCAACACCTAAGTTACATGGCGACTTTCCATCATCACTTATGAAAGAAGACCTTAGTTGCACTTCCGTTCATTAGTTCAGAAATAAACGAACGGGCACCTGACTAGAACCATCGATAGCTGGGAAGCGTCCTCACATGTAAAAGTCCAAAGTCCTTTGTAGATGAGAGGGGCAAGTGCTTTGAGGTAAACGATCATAATCAACTCCAGCACGGACGCCATTTTCACTCATGTTCTATGTATACATATTAAATCATGCTTATTTTTTCAAACTTTGAAAATTCACATTATGCTTTTCTTATTTAGTAATACGAAAGAAGTTTCAATTTATATGTCTTACATGAAAAATGCTATCACTTTAAAGTGGATAGGGGCTTAAATTATGATTACCTATTTCACGCTTTAAAGACCATGTTCATTTATCTTTTGTCAAGTTTTGCAAAACAAAAAAAATAGAAGAAACTATTTGTTGAGATTGTATGAAAACGTTTATAAAGAAAGAAGTGGTCCTAACTACCAACCTCGACTTTCTCTTCTTCTAGGTATGTTTTTCGAACAGGAAACCTGGCTGTTTTATGGGCGTTCATTACAGTCTCACGTTCCTCCTCCGAACCTAGAAAATTTCCCAAAATACATGAGATGTGAATTACCTTTCCAAAACAAAATATTCCGGTAAAGGGAGATCACTCTAAAACAATGTTAACAATACATGAGTACATTCAATTCGTTGTTTGAGTTCGTTCATGAGCCAATAATGATGATGATGATGATAATAATTATTATAATAATTACATGTACAAAAAGTACAATATCTGCAATACACCCTAGCACCGGCTTATACAGAATCTTATCTTCAACTCTCCAAGTTTCTGGATCAAAAACTCCCAAGTATGAGACAATCATAAGGCAACAAGTATCATTATGAAAAATCATTTCTTCTTCTTTTCAATTGATTTATATCTTAGTTATGAAGTATAAAAATATACGACGCAAGCAATTTCTCTAGTAACAACTGATGACAACCGCTGTTTATTCAAAAATTTCAGACAAATTTATATAATCTTAATAATATTTCCTGGACATTATGCCAAAGAAAATTTCTTAAACAAAAACAAAAATTCGAAAATTTGTTCGTGTTTGATAAAACGACATCGGGACGTTACGTTACCAGAAAGTGTTTCCGTAACGCATGAATTTTGATCAAATATTTAGCAAAGTAATTAACTGAGAGGTACAGATTAACGTAAAAGCAGAGTAAATTGAATATAACGTTTTAACTTATTTTGCCAAAACAGTCCCAAAAACATTTTTTTTCTATTTTCAATTATATTAAAATAATATTAAGCTTTCAACTGAAAATAAAATAAAAATATTCACCTTCTTTTGGTTTGTATGCTAGGGTCAAATCTTCCCGTTGTTCCTCCGAATATATTTTTCTTTCATGATATTTTTTTGACTTGTACTTGAATGGTTGTCCTGTTGGTTTTTTCGTGCTGATGCACTTTCCTACACTGTTAAACAGTTTTATATGTATGAGACACAATTCAAATCGGAAAAGAAAGCAAATGACAGAAAATCCCTTGAAGTACAGTATGTATGTGCACCAGATGGTGTGCAGAATCTATATGTAAGAGATTTACAAGAATATCGGGGTTGATAGTCTCAAATTATGATGCCGTAGTAAGGGGAACTTGCGCACAGACACCCACACAGGTACTATTCTATTACCAATTTTGATTTGAAACGTTCCAATTCATTTTTTACTTGAAGAATTAACGTGTCTGCGAAAGCGGGTAAAATAGAGTCATAACATCATCACTGTGACCATGTGTAAGGACGAATTAAATGATTTCTATTTAGTACTTTGTATAATTGACAAAAATTTTGAATGCGATCAAGTAATTATATTTTGTTTGGATGGACTTTTAAAGTTGCATGCCGCCTCCAGATGAGTAAAAATATTTCAGAAATATCAAACTTGTGAAAATTTAAGAAAACTTAGGATTTTTAAGAAAAGTAAAAAGATTCAAAATTCAAGTCATAATTTACATGTATTGTGCAATTAAAGACGGATTTTTCAGTAAATCACCATATTTCTATTGCGATACTAACACATTAAGGGCTATTTTCGCACTTTTTTAAAAACATTTTTTCGGTAAATAACGTGGATTGTAAGTGCCGTTTGAAATGCGCAAAGTACTTTTTTTTCCAATCACAATATTTTACTTTTAAATATATTCTATAAATTTTCATAAAAATTAGCTTAAATGCGGAGACATGTCGTTTTTAAGCTGCTTATGTCTAATCTTTCGTACTTTGACCCAACTATTTCATATACTTCAAAACGATCAATTGTTATTTCTCCATAAAAAGGAAACTTGTATTAATATTATTTCATTTTAGAACTATTGTCTAGTTATCAGTTATTTGTAAATTCCTAAAACGCATCTGAAAAAAAAAAAAAAAAAAAAAACAACAGGGGTTTCATTGCAAAACTGCAGTTTGAAACATTCTTATATGGTTAATAATAGATTCAAAAAAATCAGAATCGTTGGATCCTGGTCAATCACATGACATGGTGTATCTACTCGTACTTACGAATCTTTTTCCATCTTTATACGCTCGTATGAATCGCCCGGATGTATTCTCCAATGAATTTTGTCCGCATTGACTTCGGAGAAGACAAAACCGGTATCAAAACCAAAATTACAAAGACCTTTCCTTACAGCAGCCACTGGGCAAGGTCCACATGTGTATTGACCTGTGGTTATAATAAACTCCTGTCAGCAAAAACGCTCATAATTTTAAATTGACTAAACTGTTTAATAGCTACATAATATACTCAACATCACTAATTCCGCGTCATCACTTATCTCACGGTAATGGCATATTTTCATGTGACCAGTGTTAAAATTGGTCCGAATTGACATATTTTATTCAAACACCTTAACAACAAAGTTTTTGTGCAAAATAATTTAAGTCTATAGCTTTTTACGTAAAACTGAACAACATTTTACATACTTCTGCAAAAAAAAACATAGTCTATTAAATTTGTGCATACGTCTGAAACAATCATCATTTTATAAATGTTCTTGTTTGTTGAAAGAATAAATTTTGAGTTGCAATGTAAAGGTACTTTTAATATTTAAAATTATGCAAAATAACATATAGAAATTTTAACTGAAACATGAAAAAACTGAAAAAAACACCAATACCGCGAGTTTAATGATGACATACCGTTTTCAAAATGGCCGACAAACGGTCTACATCTGACAAATTTAAACTTATTTTTATTGAATATATTGTTGTTTCCTTGTGTCATATATCAGAAAAATGACTAAATGATACAGTTTATGACAGTTTTTGTAGTGTAGTTTATTGTTTGTTTTCTTTACTGTTTTAAAGTGTTAAGTACCGTGAACTAAGAGGAGCACAGTATACTACTCGTATAAGTTATAACTACAAAATAGATTTACGTATATCTATATATTAAGGGCTCATTATGCCCCAGAAATTATTTTAATTTTATTCTCAAAAGCTCTTATTTCTGTTGTTATGTTATAGTTTCCAATAGGTTCACTCTCATTCACTCACTTACATGAACCATCTTTTGCTTCTGTTATTTTTTTTTGAAAATCAATACAGTTATAGTGATTAAAAAGTTCACATTCTACGCTGTTTTCTTCAGGTCATTCTCATCTAACATGTTATAAAGCAATCATTTAGACGCTATAAAACACACGACGTCGGTTTTTAAAAAGGAACAAAATATTCGTCGTTTCTGAGGCATAACGGCCATTAATTTAGCATATTTGCTTTATTGTGACTTTTCATAGCGTCATGGCATGGCTGAAAACTTTGCTCCGCTTAAGCATGCTCCAAACATACACCACAGCAGGAAATAAAAAGATGTGTGGCGACCGTAAAAATCACCCAGATACTCATCTCAGTGCTATTCAGATCAAAGGTGGACAAACAATTGAACGCTGCTAAATACCGGATGAAGGGGAGGCAAACCATACGGCACAATCAAATATCATTTTCATATCGACGGACATGTTAAACAATAAAACCTAAGATTTTATATCCCAAAATTAACCGATATATCTGTGCTCAAGCTGGATATCTCCCCACCCCTAAACTTAAGAAACAAAGTTAATATACGTATAATTATACCTTCACTAGTTTCCTGCGGGGTCGCATCAATAACTTGCCATCCAGGTTCGGAAAATTCCGGGGCCAGGTCGGGTCTTGCAAACCAAACTTCGTTCCAAACATGGAAATTCCTTCAAGAAAATGTAATAGAGTAGATCTACATCGAAAGATGAACTTATTTACAGCTTATGTAATGCACGTATTTAATATAATGACGACATTAGCAGACGATAAATCTACGACTGATCACACAAGTCCGAACAATTGCAGCGGTCATTTAAAAATGTTAAGCTAGTTTTAATATCAATAGAACTATGCCAACAGTGTTGTGCTAGTCGTGCCGTGAACATGATTTATGCTGTCGTCTGCCCAAATTTAGCAATTTTATAATGAAATCGCTAATCTTATAAATGGAATGTTCCAAAATCGAAACAAGGCAAACACGTTATTAGAAATATAACAAGTTGAGAATGTTATCAATACTAAACGACCAGTACCATGCTCGCAGCCATGCGACCAGTGAATACCCAGATCTGTCAGCACATCTGCGCTGTCGGATCATGATCTTCTATCATCACTTTTCAAAATTGATACTTAACGTGGTAAAAGTTAATCTACATGTATAATTTAAGTACAGAAAGCAAGATATTTATAAAGTTAAAAGCGTTACCACACAGAGTCTGAGTTCATATGTTCTATCTCTTCATCTACACCTCCTACCGGTTTAAAGTATTTCTCTATGCAATTAGACTCGTCAGTGTCATGGGCGGAGGCAAAGTTTGTGACTGTCCTACAAGGAATACCAAGTGCCCTACAAACTGGAATAAGTAATACAATCGAGGTAAAAGATGCCATACAAACTAATATGAGTAAAAGTAATTACAACTGAAGTATTGGAAAAACTATAACTTTATATGGTATCCGAATTCAGTTTAAAAAAATCAAATTCTTATTTTTGCAAATAGACAATCATGTACAACTAATTGTGGATGGGTTGCGTTGGCAGTTTACACTTAGGATCACGGCAGTAGGCCACATTGAATTTACCAGAGCACAATTCCTCGGCAGGCTTTCAAGTAGTTGACCAGTACTAAATCCATTCACTTTCGCATGGAACTAATAACTTCTGTACTTGATAGAGCAGAGGTACAGTGCAAATGACCGTAGAAAGCATTTCATGATCAATTACAGCGAAAGAGATATGCGTTTTCCGGGAATCGAACACGATTCACAGTCAAACACACATGCAACTTTATTTTTTCTTTTACACAAGTAAGTTTAACTTAGGCCCTGGAAAAGGTGTCAATATTTACTTTATGATGTTAAGATTCGTGTATAAGATATCAGTCCATTTCTCACTCTGTTTGTGCAGGAATATCATCTTTACTGTGAAAAATAACACTAAAACGAAAGCGTTTCACTGCTTTTAACTCATCGGACTTGATATCAATTTATTTTTGAATATACTTTTATTGTCTTTCCTTTTTAACTGTCCCAGTTAATTTACGTAAGTTATTTCAATTTTATGTTCTTAGTGGAGCAACTTTATTAAGCTAAGAATTCTAGGAGAAAGTTGTGTAGTGCGCCTACGTAGTGCTTGCTTAGATAAACTACGGTTACTGTGGGGCAGTACTTACTCATGCATATTTATCATATACCTGTTGTTGTGATACAAGAAAATACCCAGCACTGGCCAAATTTCACAGGTCCACTTTCAAACCATTGTTTCAAAATTTTGACACTCCCCACCCACTTTGAAGGCGAGACACCTTCACTATAATCTCCACTCCAGTTTCCGGTCAATACACCAAAGTCGTCTGACGAATTCACCTAGTTTTAAATAAACGTTAATATTACAATGAAATACTATTTATATTATTCTTAAAAAGATTGACTGACAGTGCAAAAAGTTGCGATTAAATTTGGATTTAAAATTTGCTCAATTTGTCGAGAAAACTTGAGTTTTTTTTTGTCCTAATAAATTATTTTATGCAATGATTTGTTTCATTAGCGCAACCTAACTTTCCAATTTCGACTGATGGTCCGTGTTCATGCAAAAGAATGATAATGCACCCTAAGGAAACGCGTTTAATGAACGCTCAAATATTATTAATACCATTTTAGCTATCATTCTGCTGACTTTTATTGGATCCGACATCGGCTTCAACCTACATGGGTCAAACCCTTGAGTGACCAGCATCAGTGCTATCTCAAGTATACCGGCCTGAAACTAAACAAAAGATAACAAAATATAAACATATCTAACGAAAAGAATAAAGATGTCACTACCATCTTTAAATATGAATATACACACTTAAACATTTAAACTAAGACAAATAACCAAAAGGAAAATAGTATATAACTAACATAAGTGAACTAAAAATAAAATCTTTTCACCTTTATAGTTGTGATTTTTGTTAAATACACCTTACAGTGTACAGGTACATTCAACATCGGAAATATTGTCATATATTTTTCACAAAAACGTTTTTATTTTTGGTTTCTTGTTGCAGTTTTCAAGAACCAATACTCAATGGTCATTTAGATAAATTACCTTTTGCTTCTTTCACTCTTTGGCAATTGGTAAAGTCAATTTTGAATGGAAGTCAAACTACAACTTAATTTACATTTTGATTTCTTTACGACCAATTACCGTACCTCCAATGCTACTATTGTAGGTTTATCTACAATTAACTTTCTTTAAATGCATTATTAAAGCATTATTAATAATATGCTTGACTTTTCTTAAGAATTGAATTTTTTAAAGGCTAAGTGTGCCTTTTAATTATTTTTTTATTGACTTATTCAATATAACATTTCAACTTTACTGTGCAAAGTGCCTTTTTTAGAAGCTTAGACGCTTATATTACACATTTATCATACTATACAATATAACACAGTGGATAAACCAAAGCCCTGTGTCATATCTGATCAATGTGTACCATGCCTAGCGATTTCAACGATCTCTAACTTTTCATGGAAGCCAAGGTACTTTAATTCAAATTTTTATTACGAAAACAGGGATAATGCTATATAAAATACCTGTCCGAAGTTCCATTCTTTCGCCCCTGGTTGTGTATAATTTCCTCTCCAAACAGCACCACTTTCATTTAGGATGTATTCATCGAGCAACTCAGTCTGCGGCATGTACACAGTGTCATCTAACAAAATAAACATAGCCTTAAAAGTAATCACCATCTTAAAGTTAGAAAAGATGGAAGTAATCAATTGATAATAAAAAGGGACCCAATAACAAAAATATTACCATCAAGCAGACAAATATAGTATTGTTAATCAATTGGGTCAATCAATAGAATCGTTCAAGTGATTTTGATTTGAAGCTGCAGGTTTCATCATGACAATTTAGTTGACAGATATTGTTAGCTAAATTTATGCATACAATTTTTAAAAAATATATATAATTATAAGTATTTCATTTAAGATTTCTTATTACTCCTCGTAATTTTGAAGATTTTGCTGATTTATTAAAAGTAACGGAACATCACGAACGTTACCGGAAAGAAATTCGTAATGTTCCGGAAAACAAACGGAATAAGACGGAAAGTGACGAAATTTGAAGAATGACTTACCCGGACACCATGGATTGAACAGAATTGTGATGTCGTCTTCTTGCTCATACTGACGAATGATGGTTTTATCATTGCCATCTTTGTCTTTACCTTCACATTTTGTCTTCACATAGAAATTCCACTCCCCGATAATACAATTGGCGGGAATATGTACCTTAATAAATGAAATGATAACAAAAATAATTACATCAACAATGATGATGATGATGATGATAACAATAGTAATAGTAATATTAATAATAATAATAACAACAACAACAACAACAACAACAACAACAACAAATAATAATGATAATAATAATAATAATAATAATAATAATAATATATAATAATAATAATAATAATAATAATAATAATAATAATAATAATAAAATATTAAATATTAAACCGAAATGAAAAATATGTAAATGGGGAACCTGTTAATTTACCAGAATAGTGACGTCATTTCCGGACTTGCTTTGTAAAGTTGCGCCCCATTGATCAGGTGTAAACTTTTGCTTCCCGGACTCGTCTATTTCAAATTGAGCTTTAGTACCTCCTGATGGTTTTGCCCATTCTCCTAATAAAATATAGAAGACCTCTATAAGTTAATGAGTTCCTTTTTTTGTATCAATTACATGTATAACAATCAGCAATCGTCCGCCATTGAATAAAGTGTAAAATGTAATTTTGTTTAGTAAAAACACTTCAGAACCGTTTGTAAAGTGTTCCTTGCTTAAGGACTGGAAATAACTGCATATAATTTTTGAAAGTGGAAGTTTTGCTTTCCTTTATATCATTTATTACTAATAACAACCGATAAACAAGAACGATATCATCAACAACAAGTGAACAAAAGGAAAAATCTACCCCGCCGCAAAAATAAATAAATATATATAATAAATAATAAATTATTTAATAAAAATATCAAAATAAATTCATTAAAGAAATACCCCCCCCCCCCGACAAATACAGAATCAAAAAATCTAAAATCAACTCTACAGTGCGTGTCATCATAAAGAAACAATTTCATTACCTAGAGTGAAGCACAAGAGCAATTCATTTTTCTCCTTGTCGTATGGTCTATCAAACGTTATTGTCATCTTGATATTATCTCCCCGACGAACGACCAGTTCCGCCGGCACTACTTTATCGTTTACCTTTCTCTCTCTCGTACATTCATATTCATCAGTCCTGACATGAAAAAATATGAGAACTATTATATTAGTTTTTACCAAATTTAGCACAGAGGAATAAATTGCGGGAAAAAAACGGAATTCTTAAGTTGGGTTTTAATTCTTTTTCTGAAATAAAACACACTGCTTATATAAAGGTCTTAGTATGTAAAGATCATTTACTAGGAAAATAAAATTTACGTCAGCTTATAAACCGCACGCTTGGAAATTTCGTCTTTTTTAACATATAGGCGGCGGCCCATTAGTCCGAGAAAATGCGGTATACATTCTTCTCTTTTTTTTCTTCTCGTGAAGATTATATATTGTAATAATATTTATATTTTGTATGTACATTGCATAAGTTCCGTAAGAAAGAATATTATATGAAAATGTATTTGCATCTAAATATCATAGTTTCAGATATAGAAGCCGGTCGTTTACAGCAGGGTCTTTCAAATAGAATTCTATTTGAAAGACCCTGTTTACAGTTGTACCAGTTCTATACTATGTTCAATAGTGGCGAATGAATGTGTCCATACGACCAGTGCAGACCAAAATCAATCAGCCAATCGGCTATGAAAATAGCTCTTCAGTCGTAACAAAGTTTGAATTTCCCCTACATATCCAAGTTTTTGTTCGACAAGTCTATTTCAGAACATTTAGCGTAGTAAGCGTTAATTTCTAGAATAATAATAGACAATAGAAAACATACATTATAATCTTGCAATCTGTTGAAGTGCATATAATGTTTAGATAAATTTTATAGAAAGTGTTTCTCGGCGCAAAAGTCATTGGTCGCTACTTCAGTATACATGTTCTAATAAGTATTTTCTATAATTGTTCATCAATTGTGACCTATATGTTATAAGTTGTGTTACCTCATCATTATCTGCAATTTCTGAACAAATGTCTCTTGCCCCATTTTAAAAGATTGAACAAAAAAAAAACACCGGCAAGTTCTGTCTCACCCGTGTATCATATCTTATAAGCTCCGAAACGAAAAAGAGCAAAAACAATCGTTGACTTCTGAAAGGTTTTATATACGGTGCCGGATTTACACAATGACTTAAAATTTTACTAATACTTTGCTTTGTATTCACAACCGCATCAATTGAGAAGAAAGAAGCAATAAGCAAACACGGACAAAGAGGATATAAATGTGTATGTGAGAAGTTAGCAGTGAACAGTGAGCTAAGCAAAAAGGCATTTCAATTTATATAGGGAAGGTAATGATCTGCTGTAATGCTCAGCTGTTTTTGGCATCTAGCAGGGCATTCCTAAATATAGTGTAAAAATGCTCTGCTGCAATACTCAGCTGTCTTTGCAATCTAGCAGAGCATTCCTAGCTTTAGTGAAAAAAATGCTCTGCTGGAACGCTCAGCTGGCTAGGCAATCTAGCAGGGCATTACTAAATATAGTGTTAAAATGCTCTGCTGGAATGCTCAGCTGGCTAGCTAAGATAGTAGGCAATCTAGCAGGGCATTCCTTAAATATATATTGAGAAAATGCTCTGCTGGGATGCTCAGCTGGCTAGGCAATCTAGCAGGGCATTACTAAATATAGTGTAAAATGCTCTGCTGGAATGCTAAGCTGGCTAGGCAATCTAGCAGGACATTACTAAATATAGTGAGAAAATGCTCTGCTGGAATGCTAAGCTGGCTAGGCAATCTAGCAGGGCATTACTAAATATAGTGTAAAATGCTCTGCTGGAATGCTAAGCTTGTGGCAATCTAGCAGGACATTACTAAATATAGTGTACAAATGCTATTCTAGAATGCTAAGCTGGCTAGGCAATCTAGCAGGGCATTACTAAATAAAGCGTAAAAATGCTCTGCTGGAATGCTAAGCTGGCTAGGCAATCTAGCAGGGCATTCCTAAATATAGTGTAAAAATGCTCTGGTGAAATGCTCAGCTGGCTAGGCAATCTAGCAGAGCATTACTAAATAAAGTGTAAAAATGCTCTGCTGGAATGCTAAGCTGGCTAGGCAATCTAGCAGGGCATTCCTAAATATAGTGTAAAAATGCTCTGGTGGAATGCTAAGCTGCTAAGCAATCTAGCAGGGCATTACGAAATATAGTGTAAAAATGCTCTGCTGAAATGCTAAGCTGGCTAGGCAATCTAGCAGGGCATTACTAAATATAGTGTAAAATGCTCTGCTGGAATGCTAAGCTGGTTAGGCAATCTAGCAGGACATTACTAAATATAGTGTACAAATGCTTCTCTGGAATGCTAAGCTGGCTAGGCAATCTAGCAGGGCATTACTAAATAAAGCGTAAAAATTCTCTGCTGGAATGCTAAGCTGGCTAGGCAATCTAGCAGGGCATTCCTTAATAAAGTGAAAAAATGCTCTGCTGGAATGCTAAGCTGGCTAGGCAATCTAGCAGAGCATTACTAAATATAGTGTAAAAATGCTCTGCTGGAATGCTAAGCTGCTAGGCAATCTAGCAGGGCATTCCTAAATATAGTGTAAAAATGCTCTGGTGGAATGCTAAGCTGCTAGGCAATCTAGCAGAGCATTACGAAATATAGTGTAAAAATGCTCTGCTGGAATGCTAAGCTGGCTAGGCAATCTAGCAGGGCATTACTAAATAAAGTGTTAAAATGCTCTGCAGGAATGCTCAGCTAGCTAGGCACTATAGCAGAGCATTCCTTAGTATAGTGAAAAAAATGCTCTGTTGGAATGCTCAGCTGGCTAAGCAATCTAGCAGAGCATTACTAGATATAGTGTAAAAAATGCTATGCTGGAATGCTCAGCTGGCTAGGCACTATAGCAGAGCATTCCGTAATATAGAGAAAAAATGCTCTGGTGGAATGCTCAGCTGCTAGGCAATCTAGCAGGGCATTACTAAATATGTTGTAAAAATGCTCTGGTGGAATGCTAAGCTGGCTAGGCAATCTAGCAGGGCATTCCGAAATATAGTTAAAAAATGCTCGTGCGGAATGCTCAGTTGGCAGACTGATTCTGAGTTCCAGGATTTATTGTTGTATGTTTTATTGACATTTTCGACTTCTATGCAATTCTGAGACACTCGCAGACTTTCGGGAATTTTCGGTGCCAATAGAAATAATGATATTTTTGACTTCAAAGGACCTTTGAGAGACTATTTCATTGTCCTGCGACTTTTTAAAGAACACTCGCAGACTTTGAGGAATTTTGGTGCCAATGCTGATATTGACAATTAAGATTTCTAGGGACCCTCAAGAGTACATTTTGGTCGTCTGCGACTGATTTTTGGACACTCGCAGACTTTCAGGAATGTTTGGTGCCAATGGAAATAATCATATTTTTGACTTCTAGGGACCTTTAAGAGTCCATTTCATTGGCCTGCAGCGTATTGTTGGACACTCGCAGATTTTCAGGAAAGTTTTGATGCCAATAGAGATGATGGCAATTTTTACTTCTAGGGACCCGCCAGAGTCCATTTTTATGGTCTGTGACTGATTCTGGGACATTCGCAGACTTTCAGGAATCTCTGGTGCCAATGGAGATAATGACATTTTTGACTTCTAGCGACCCACCAGAGTTCATTTCGCTGGTCTGCGACTGATTTTGAGACACTTGCAGACTTTCAGGAATATTGATGCCAATGGAGATAATGACATTTCTGACTTTAAGGGAACCGCCAGAGTATATTTCTTGGGTCTGCGACTGATTCCTTGATACTGGCAGGCTTTCAGGATGTTTAGTGCCATTGCTGATCATGACTTTTTTACTTTTAATGACCCCTTAGTCATAAGCAGAGCATTTTTACCTCAAAAATGTCATTATCTGGCTTAGCACCAAAAATTCCTGAAAGTCTGCAAGTGCCCAATATTCAGTCGCAGACCAACGAATTAGACTCTGGATGGTCAAAAATGTCATAAATTGTAATTATCTCTATTGGCACCAACAATTCCTGAAAGTCTGTGACTGTCCAAGATTAAGTCGGAGACCAAAAAAATGGACCCTGGATGGTCCCTAGAAGTAAAAAATGTCATTACCTGCCTTGACATAAAAAATTCCTGAAAGTCTGTGAGTGCCTCAGAATCAGTCGCAGACCAAAAAAATGGATTCAGAAAGGTCCCAATAAGTCAGAAAGATCATTTTCTGCATTGACACCAAAATTCCTGAAAGTCTGCGAGTGACTCAGAATCAGTCGCAGACCAACGAAATAGACTCAGGAGGGTCCTTTTGAAGTAAAAATGTCATTATCTCCATTGGAACCAAACAATTTCTGAAAGTCTTTGCTTCAAGAAACATTCGCAGACCAACGAAATGGACTCTGGATGGTCCTAAAATATCACAAATGTCATTAACACCAAAAATTCCTGAAAGTCTGCGATCGTCCCAGAATCAGTCGGAGACCAAAGAAATAGACACTTGAGGGTCCCGTAGAAGTCAAAAATGTCATTATCTGCATTGGCACTAAATATTTCAGAAAGTCTACTAGTGCCAAATAATCAGTTGCAGACCAACGAAATTAATACTTTATTAAAGAATGCCCTGCTAGTTTGTCTAGACAGCTCAGCATTCCGGCAGAACATTTTTACACTAATTTTCAGAATGCTTTGCTAGATTGCCTAGCCAGCTGAGCATTTTTAAAACTATATTTAGGAATGCCCTGCTAGATTGCTAAGCTAGCTGAGCATACCAGCAGAGCATTTTTCGCACTATATTTTGGAACGCTCTGCTAGATTGCATAGCCAGCTGAGCTTGCCAACAGAGCATTATTTTTACACTATATTTAGGAATGCTCTGCTGGATTGCCTAGACAGCTGAGCATTTTTAACACTATATTTAGGAATGCCCTTCTAGATTGCCTAGCCAGCTGAGCAATTCAGCAGAGCATTTTAACACACAATTTTGGAATGCCCCGCTAGATTGCTTAGCCAGCTGAGCATAACAGCTAAGCATTTTTACACTATATTTAGGAATGCCCTGCTAGATTGCCTAGCCAGCTGAGCATACCAGCAGATCGTGATTACACTATATTTTGGAATGCCCCGCTAGATTGCTTAGCCAGCTGAGTATAACGGCTGAACATTTTTACACTATATTTTGGAATGCCCCGCTAGATTGCTTAGCCAGCTGAGTATAACGGCAGAACATTTTTGCACTATATTTTGGAATGCCCCGCTAGATTGCTTAGCCAGCTGAGCATAACAGCAGAGCTTTTTACACTATATTTTGGAATGTCCCGCTAGATTGCTAAGCCAGCTGAGTATAACAGCAGAGCTTTTTTACACTATATTTTGGAATGTCCCGCTAGATTGCTTAGCCAGCTGAGCATAACAGCAGAGCTTTTTACACTATAATTTGGAATGCCCCGCTAGATTGCTTAGCAAGCTGAGTATAACAGCAGAGTATTTTTAACACTATATTTAGGAATGCTCTGCTAGATTGCCTAGCCAGCTGAGCATACCAGCAGATCATGATTACACTATATTTTGGAATGCCCCGCTAGATTGCTTAGCCAACTGAGCATAACAGCAGTGCTTTTTACACTATATTTTGGAATGCCCCGCTAGATTGCTTAGCCAGCTGAGTATAACAGCAGAGCATTTTTACACTATATTTTGGAATGTCCCGCTAGATTGCTTAGCCAGCTGAGCATAACAGCAGAGCTTTTTACACTATAATTTGGAATGCCCCGCTAGATTGCTTAGCCAGCTGAGTATAACAGCAGAGTATTTTTAACACTATATTTAGGAATGCCCTGCTAGATTGCCTAGCCAGCTGAGCATACCAGCAGAGCATTTTTACACTTTATTTAGTAATGGCCTGCTACATTGCTTACCCAGCTGAGCATACGAGTAAAGCATTTCTACACTTTATTTGGAATGCTCTGCTAGATTGCTTACCCAGCTGAGCATAACAGCAGATCATTGATTTCCCTATATAAATCGTAATGCCTTTTTGCTTAGCTCACTGTTAACTGCTAACTTCTCACATACTATAAATGTTTATTAACAATTACCTATGTTCCAATGTATTCTCTTTAATATGAAGATCGACAGATTTGACATACAGCTCTTTTGCTAGATCTTCTTTCGGCAAAACCGGTTTGGGTGGTGGAGGAGGCGTTTCTGTAATAAAATATGTCTTGAAAAAATGATTCATATAAGCTGTGTTACTTTTCAATGTGCTTGACAATTCTAGAATTCAAACCCCATGTGCTAGCATTTAAATGATTTTGTAGCAAAAGTTGTTCTGTTAAGATGCTTCTTTGAACGAACACTTTGAATATTATATTTTGCAGTCATTATATTTCCTCTGTAAGCTTTAAAACAAGGTTTAAAAATGAACATTAATAATATTATAGAAGTTAACCTTCTTCACTTCTACAATCAGAAACCAACATAGTGCTCATTTGTTCCCCTTTTTCTAAAGCTTCGGGTCAACAATTGTCGAACCCCATTTATTGGAATACAATTATGCATAATCATACAAGTATAAACAGTAAATTAATAAAAAAGGGATACATGATAGAGTTTCAAAATGTTCACATTAAATTTACAATATAATTTATGAAACTGATTCGTGCTTGTTTAAATACATTTGTCAAGTCAATCATCATAAAATAAACTAACAAACCTGGTCTTGCTGGTGAAGGTGTTCTCTCTTTTTCGTCATTTGCTTCTTTCCCGTCTTTTCCTGCTTTTAAGGCCCTGTTGACCTTCCACGCTTTGAACATATTCCGCAACCTTTCCCAGGAATAGCCCTTCTTTCGTTTGTTGCCATAGTAAAGATTTTCATATGATGGCGGTGCGTCTTTGCTTCCGTACCTTTTACCTTTTTTCTTGTTGAAGCCAACTGTTTTTTCTCCATAGCTAGGGTAGGAGTTCGTAGTATTTCCTTTCCCAGCAAGGCTTTGTTTGTAGCGTGCGTACATGGCCGGTCTTGTCTGTTTGTTACAATCTAAAATGAAATTGAAAGAAAGAAAAAGAAAATAAACATATTGTTTGTTTTAGAGGACGAACCTTGTTGTTCTTCAACAATTGCCAATGATGCATTAATATTTCATATACGAGTATAAATTATGGCCAAATCACTTATCTTCTGTTAAGCAAAAAATGCTTGACGTTATTCTAACATCCATAGATTCATAAAATAAAATATGGGTGTGTCATATTTTCGCTCTGTATCGTATTATCGTGTTTTCGCCTTGCAGCTCGCGGTGCGAAAATACGATATGACACAGCTCAGCCACAAGAATAAACCAAAAAAAATCTTTATATCATTGTTTTTATATCATTGTTTATATATTATCTTTCTCGTTATTCAAACTAAACTTTTTTAAAAATCTTTTTTTCTTTATCTTATTGGTTTATTTGTTATATATCTCATTGTACAGAATGTTTTTATCTTATCTCTTTATATCATTAATTTAGATTAAACTGTTTTTATCTCATCTCTTCATATCAATGGTTTTCATGTTATCCATTTCATTGTTCAAACTGAAACTGTTTTTATCTCATTTCTTTGTGTCATTTGTTCATATTTTACCTATCTCATTGCCCAGACTATCTTTATCTCATTTCTTTCTTTCATATGTCTATATGTTATCTATATAATTGTCCAGACTGTTTTTATCACACTTTTTTATCATTTGTTAATATTTTATCTATCTCATTGACAGACTGTCTTTATCTCATTTCTTTCTATCATGTGTCTATATGTTATCTATATAATTGTTCAGACTAGATTTTTTATCTCATTTTTTAATCATTGGTTAACTTATTATTTATCTCATTGTTCAACCTGCTTTTATCTCATTTCGTATTTTTGATCTATTTGTTTCTGTTGTTATCTCTCCACTTTATACTATAGTTCCTAATGCTTTTGCTAAAATGCTTCATTTTTATGTATTTTATCTCTTTGTCTCATGTATTCTCCAACTCTCTATCTGCTTCTTTAATTTCTCGTATTTTTATATATTCATTTTTTTATGTCGGTTACTCGTATATTTCTCAATATCCATACTGTATATGTATCTTAACTCTTTATCTCTTTGTATCTTGTATGTTTATCGTTATGTTTATATATTTTATTTTTCTATCTAAATGTATCACAATTCTTAACATCATTACGTTAATCTCTTATCGTATAAAAAAAGAGTTGCTTTAACAGTCAACAGTTTATTTTAAAACTCCTACCAAAGTCAATATTTACTTTACTTCTTGTTTATTATCGTCCTATATCATAAATAGTCGGAGCGTATAATATGGTTTTAAAATTCTAAAGCTTAACTGCGACTAGCGCACGGCATATTCGCAATTGTGCTGTTTAGTCAGCAGTTACTTTTAAAAATATCCCTAGAAATGATGAATGATTAGGTCCAAAGTGAAAGATGGACAAGTCCATTTAAGATATAAAACGTGATAAGGGTTAAAATATTTTTTTTCTACTTGTTATAGAGTTTGTAAGCGAACTGTGCGCAAGCTGGTCTGGATCCATGCTGGTCGCAAACCCATTATGTTCGTTTTGTCGTGACGCAGCTCAATTATCTAAAAACCAGTTATAATTAAATAAATAACAATTCGTTTTTTAACGCTAAAAGTGACGTTATGTCAATTGCATATGGAAATTTAGTTTAAACTTATCTTTTACATGTACAATAACTCTCACTGTGTGATGAAGATGTATTCATAAGCTATAAATGAAAGTGATTTCATGAAAGGAATCAATACAAATCGATAGTTTGATGGGTTAATGGTTTAATTTTCGTCACGCATACCTTGTGATACTATTGAAAAAAAATCCGTCTCAATCAAATCGATTGAATGGAGATTTCTGCTCATAAGAAAAGAATAAGCTTACATTGAGGTTACTAAAATCTAGGAGAATATAGTCATGACACATGCTCAAGCGTTTGTTATTATTAAATAATGAAATTGTGCAGTTTTGGTAGCGTTTCAAAAAGTCTTTTGTACGAGTGGACCACAAAACGCATTAAACTTTTCACAAGTGTCGTATTTCAAACTTAAGTATAAAGAAGTCAATATTTTATTATATCATAAATAGATCGACCTCGACCACGAATATAGGTTTTCCTAGTTGTTAAACTTAGCACTAATTAACTGATAAGGCAAAACAATACAATATCGTTAGCTTCTATGTATTTGTACGATAATAATACTCTTTACTGAAAAAATTTTATATGTTTATATTTTAATGTTAACAAAAATGAAGGCATAGCATTGAATGATATTTTACAGAAAATAACATTTTTACAATTCATCATTAAACGATAGGCTTATTATCAATAATGCATTTAAATAGAGTAATGGATCGATTCCACGGTCTTCCTTTTGTTTCTCTGTTTTGAAACAAGGAAGCGGTTGCTTATCTGTAAAATCGATACAACTGGAGTTTTTCTTTCCGACGTTAATTCAAACAACAACATCAAAGAAAAGTGCAATTGCAGTATCAGCAACAGACCAATGCTTGAATAAAATTAAATATGACTATTTAAGTAAAGAATTTACATACCAGATTGCAATAATCTCCACAAATCCAACCAATACAGAAGCAATGATACTTTTCAGCGTAACTTAGATGGAAACGATATTCAAGTTTGTTCGTCAATGTTTACATTGAAGCGTCGGTAACTAGGGGGTGAAAATGCTTGATGTGACGAGTACAAAAAAAGAAGTGCATTCTTTATAGGGCGCGTAGTGGTAATTTTATATCTGTTTATATTTTGTGTACTTTTGAACAAGTTTACCTGTTAAATCGAATTTTCAGCTTAAATGGGTAGATATTTGTATGAATTCGAAAATGACTTAATAAAACATGACTGTAAAATGATTTAAGTATAATTATGTTGTAAATTAAATCTTGAATAGAGCAACAAAATTGGTAATTGGCACAGGAGAACTTTTCTTTTATATGCAGTATTCATGTAAAGAGGGGTTGCACTTTATATAAAATCATTAATTAGGCTAATTATTTTTTCTTTTTCACATTTCAAATTTTAAAGTGTGGTAAATATTTTTATAAAGGGTTTCTTTTTGCGAGAGTGTCTATATTTATAATAACTCTTTAATGCGTATTTTTACACATTGCAGAGGGTGCCAGAGAATGTCGGCATTGGGACAAAGGATGGGACATTTGTGTTTGTGCGTGTTTTTGTGTTGTGTCACGATTACTTATACTGGTCGCCGGGTCGAAGCAATATGAGCCAGAATATTTTCGTTTTGCTGGTCCATTTCTATGTTTAAGTTTCCCTCTTTACTAAGTTGTGTCATGGAGTCGACATATGTCTTCTTCAAAAGAAAATTGACCATTATTCCCCCTCCCCACACGAGTTAGTCATGCCAGGTTATTACATAAGGTGAAATAACCGTGACGTTTCGTGTATCTTCACCGCCACGGGCACGCCCTCGGAGAGTTTTAGTGAAGACTGGACGTGTAATTTGGGTAGGGTGTATGCATTATGCAAACCACCGGCAGTACTTTATTGAAAATGCCGAAGGTTAGCAAATTACCTTACAGTACATTTAATTATTTTAAGTTCGTCTGCAAAGCATACTCATTGTAACCTGCAAACCGTCGGCATGATAATGTATTAATTACGTAATTCAGACGCTACAAACGCGCCATTTTCTAAATGCATGTTGTCATGCAATTAACCTTGACTTCCTATTGACTTCACCCACTGAGGAAAAAAAGTCAAAACTAAATCGTTTTGCATATAAGGATTCCTTAAAAAAATGATTTAACAATCTTTTCAAAATCGATTTTCAGCTAACTACAACACTTAAATTACACGCACTTAATATGCGTCAGTGCATTGCAACCATTTTTGAAAAGTTCATTGAATATGGGGTTATTGCAAAGAATAGAAATGTAAATGAAAAAGAAATCAATTATAAGCTTTGTTGATGATTGTCAAAAAGATAGCTTTATAAATTATTCAAACAATTATTCGATTTCAATTTTCAACAAAGAAAACTAAAAATACATCTCCGGGTCAACAGCAGATATCGACACTATAATTGAAACAAACAAAACGTATCACATTATTTTAAAGGCACAGAATGCCTCAAAAATGAATAAATTTAACTTCTTTAGAAACAGGCAATTATAAATTTGATTATGTTTAAATACCGATTTTAGGGCATTTTAGATACTTCACACATGAAGAACGTAGCGATAAATGTAAATTGTTTGTAAATAGCAATATGTAAGCAGAGTAGTATTTTAACTTTCATACAAAATACTGTACTAATTGCCAAACAGCAATAGATGAAAAAAAATGGTTCAGGAACTTGACCAATGAGTTACCTTTTGAAAACTATATCAGAACACAAAACATTAAAAGCTTTTGAGAAATAGAAATAAAATAATTTCTGAGACATTATCCGGGCTTTAAGATTCTTTATTCTTTTCATAAAATAAATATTTTGTCTTCTTTAGTTTATACAGATTTGTATAGTTTGATTGTACAGGTAGCTTTAAGCGTGTACAGTAAGTTTGTCTGAAATTCGTTAATGGAACCAAAGGATGTGCGATACGTCCCTTGCTCATGGAAACAACGGCTTTACTCTAGGAACATGGTTTGCACCAATGCGACCTTGAACTCTTTTGAAATATAGAATGACAGTACCCTTGATGTGTTTAAGACTTGTATTATACAGTTTAAACACACGATAAGAATTTAGGCCTTTAGAAAAAATATTTCTTTTTCCACTACCTTTTGTTCATATGGTTTACGAGTACTTGGGCGGTTTATATTATAAAATATAGGACAAATACATTCACCCGCATTGCACTAAAATATTGTAAGTTTTCTGTCGTCAAAACATTTTTGTATTACATTTTGTGTGCGTGTGTGCTAGGGTGGGGTGGGGTGAAATACATACGAGGTGCAGCTAGTTACCACTGTTTAAAAAATAAAATATTTAACAAGCTGATTTGTATAATAGTTTGAACATGTGCTACTTGTTTAAATATGCACACACATAGCAGATACTATTGAATTACAACTTGTCTTTTTTTAATAATAAATGCGCGTCCTTAGCTACCACTGTGCAAACTTTGCGGCAGATGTCGTAAATGGGTTGTTTAAAAATAACAAACCTAATCGTACATAAATATCAATACTTGCACTGAATAAGTCGGAGTATACGCGTCTGTATTAGGTAAGTGTTTTCCATTAAAATATTACAATACTTTCCTGAATTTATTTCTTACAAGTATTTTCTGTTAAAAAAGAGAAATGAGATTGCATGAAATATACTAATATTCTTCAAATGCGATTTACGCTGTGAATTTTGTCATTTGTAAATTGCATTCCAAAGTACTGTACGAGTTGTGCATAAAGTCATTGAACAGTGTAAAAAAACTTGAAAGGGTTGACCCCTCGGAAATATTAATCACAAGCTCATTATAAATAATTCAAATATTTGAGTTTGTTTTGCTTGAATGTGTGTTTGTTCGGTTTTACGGTGCGCCAGCACAGGTTGGATCATATGGCAGTGAAACAGGAAAGATGAAATAAGCTAACCTCGGTGTTACAAACACCTGGGGTCAAACCACCTCACCTCACAGACTCCATTAATTTAAACTCATTTGAGCCGTGTCTCAACAAAACCAACATAATAGGTTTGCGACCAGCATGGATCCAGACCAGCCTGCGCATCCGCATAATGATCAGGATCCACGCTGTTCGCTTACAAACTCTATAACAAGTAGAGACACGGATGCGCAGGCTGGTCTGGATCCATGCTGGTCGCAAACCAATTATGTTGGTTTTGTCGTGACGCGGCTCATTTAGTTGCCTTTTACCATCAGCAGGGGTGCTCGCAAATATTCAAATAATAGATTTTAATACAACTGACTGCTTTAATATATATCCTTGGCATGTCAGTCATAATCTATTTAGTCATTATCAAATAACTGAGATTTATTCGTCTAAAGTCCTTAATTCCCGCTTTAAAATGATTTGCAGACGATATTTCTGCCGGTTGCTCCTGGTCTTTCCGACGCTTATTGTAACATTAAAAGACACAAGAAGAAACGTAAACTACCGATTGTTAAAGAATGTTTAGGTTCAATATATGTAGGGGTAGTGAACAATTTTAATTTTCTTCGGGTGTATCTAAACGATACTTTTACCGTAATTTCCACGAGTCTAAAATTTCCAGGTATAGGAGGATATAGGATTGATTATATCTGCCTAGCCCATAACGTGTGATTCAATCTGCCCAGCATAACCGTGTAATTCAATCTGCCAAGCAAAATCGTGTGATTCAATCTCCTTAATATAACCGTGTGATTCCATCTGCCCAACATAGCCGTGTGATTCAATCTGCCCAACATAACCGTTTGATTCAATCTGCCGAACATAACCGTGTGATTCAATCTGCCCAACATAGCCGTGTGATTCAATCTGCCCAACATAGCCGTTTGATTCAATCTGCCCAACATAACCGTTTGCTTCAATCTGTCCAACATAGCCGTGTGATTCAATCTGCCATACATAACCGTTGTGATTCAATCTGCCCAACATAACCGTGTGATTCAATCTGCCAACATAACCGTGTGATTCAATCTGTCCAACATAACCGTGTGATTCAATCTGCCTAGCATAACCGTTAGATTCAATCTGCCTAGCATAGCCGTTTGATTCAATCTGCCCAACATAACCGTGTGATTCAATCTGTCCAACATAACCGAGTGATTCAATCTGCCCAACATAAACGTTTGATTCAATCTGCCCAACATAACCGTGTGATTCAATCTGCCCAACATAACCGTGTGATTCAATTTGTCCAACATAACCGTTTGATTCAATCTGTCCAATATAACCGTGTGATTCAATCTGCCCAGCATAGCCGTGTGATTCAATCTGCCCAACATAACCGTGTGATTCAATCTGCCTAGCATAACCGTGTGATTCAATTTGCCCAACATAACCGTGTGATTCAATCTGTCCAATATAACCGTGTGATTCAATCTGCCCAATATAACCGTGTGATTCAATCTGCCCAACATAACCGTGTGATTCAATCTGCCATACATAACCGAGTGATTCTATCTGCCCAACATAACCGTGTGATTCAATCTGCCCAACATAACCGTTTGATTCAATCTGCCCAACATAACTGTTTTGATTTAATCTGCCCAACATAACCGTGTGATTCAATCTGCCCAACATAGCCGTGTGATTCAATCTGTCCAACATAACCGTGTGATTCAATCTGCCCAGCATAGCCGTGTGATTCAATCTGCCCAACATAACCGTGTGATTCAATCTGCCCAGCATAACCGTGTGATTCAATTTGCCCAACATAACCGTGTGATTCAATCTGTCCAACGTAACCGTTTGATTCAATCTGCCCAACATAACCGTGTGATTCAATCTGCCCAACATAACCGTGTGATTCAATTTGCCCAACATAACCGTGTGATTCAATCTGTCCAACGTAACCGTGTGATTCAATCTGCCCAACATAACCGTGTGATTCAATCTGCCCAACATAACCGTGTGATTCAATTTGCCCAACATAACCGTGTGATTCAATCTGTCCAACGTAACCGTTTGATTCAATCTGTCCAACATAACCGTGTGATTCAATCTGCCCAACATAGCCGTGTGATTCAATCTGCCCAACATAACCGGTTGATTCAATCTGCCCAACATAGCCGTGTGATTCAATCTGCCCAACATAACCGTTTGATTCAATCTGTCCAACATAACCGTGTGATTCAATCTGCCCAACATAACCGTGTGATTCAATCTGTCCAACATAACCTTTTGATTCAATCTGTCCAACATAACCGTGTGATTCAATCTGTCCAACATAACCGTTGATTCAATCTGCCCAACATAGCCGTGTGATTCAATCTGCTAGCATAACCGTGTGATTCAATCTGCCCAACATAACCGTGTGATTCAATCTGATCAACATAACTGTGTGATTCAATCTGCCCAACATAACCGTGTCATTCAATCTGCCCAACAAAACCGTGTGATTCAATCTGCCGAACATAACTGTGTGATTCTATCTGCCCAACATAACCGTGTGATTCAACCTGCCTAACATAACCGTTTGTTTCAATCTGCCCAACATAACCGTTTGATTCAATCTGTCCAACGTAACCGTTTGATTCAATCTGTCCAACATAACCGTGTGATTCAATCTGCCTAGCATAACCGTGTGATTCAATCTGTCCAACATAACCGTGTGATTCAATCTGCCTAGCATAACCGTGTGATTCAATCTGCCTAGCATAACCGTGTGATTCAATCTGCTCAACATAACCGTGTGATTCAATCTGCCTAGCATAACCGTGTGATTCAATCTGTCCAACATAACCGTGTGATTCAATCTGTCCAACATAACCGTGTGATTCAATCTGTCCAGCATAACCGTTTGATTCAATCTGCCCAACATAACCGTGTGATTCAATCTGTCCAACATAACCGTTTGATTCAATCTGCCAACATAGCCGTGTGATTCAATCTGTCCAATATAACCATTTGATTCAATCTGCCCAACATAACCGTTTGATTCAATCTGTCCAACATAACCGTGTGATTCAATCTGCCCAACATAACCGTGTGATTCAATCTGTCCAACATAACCGTTTGATTCAATCTGCCCAACATAGCCGTGTGATTCAATCTGTCCAATATAACCGTTTGATTCAATCTGCCCAACATAACCTTTGATTCAATCTGTCCAATATAACCGTTTGATTCAATCTGCCATACATAACCGAGTGATTCAATCTGCCCAACATAACCGTTTGATTCAATCTGTCCAACATAACCGTGTGATTCAATCTGCCCAACATAACCGTGTGATTCAATCTGTCCAACATAACCTTTTGATTCAATCTGCCCAACATAAACCGTTTGATTCAATCTGTCCAATATAACCGTTTGATTCAATCTGCCCAACATAACCGTGTGATTAAATCTGTCCAACATAACCGTGTGATTCAATCTGCACAGCATAGCCGTGTGATTCAATCTGCCCAGCATAACCGTGTGATTCAATCTGTCCAACATAACCGTGTGATTCAATCTGTCCAACATAACAGTGTATTTCAATCTGCCCAACATAACCGTGTGATTCAATCTGCCCAGCATAACTGTGTGATTCAATCTGTCCAGCATTACCGTGTGATTCTATCTGCCCAGCATAACCGTGTGATTCTATCTGCCCAGCATAACCGTGTGATTCTACCTGCCCAGCTTAACCGTGTGATTCTAACTGCCCAGGATAACCGTGTGATTCTATCTGCCCAGCATAACCGTGTGATTCAATCTGCCCAACGTAACCGTGTGATTCAATCTGTCAAACATAACCATGTGATTCAATCTGTCCAACATAACCGTGTGATTCAATCTGCCCAACGTAACCGTTTGATTCAATCTGCCCAACATAACCGTGTGATTCAATCTGTCCAACATAACCGTGTGATTAAATCTGTCCAACATAACCGTGTGATTCAATCTGCCTAGCATAGCCGTGTGATTCAATCTGCCCAGCATAACCGTGTGATTCAATCTGCCCAGCATAACCGTGTGATTCAATCTGTCCAACATAACCGTGTGATTCAATCTGCCCAGCATAACCGTGTGATTCAATCTGTCCAACATAACCGTGTGATTCAATCTGTCCAACATAACCGTGTGATTCAATCTGTCCAACATAACCGTTTGATTAATATCAACTTCTGTATTCATAATACTAGACGGTGATGCCCTAAAAGTCGTTCTGCATCAAGTGTCAAAGTATTTAGATTAAAGAAATATTAATCATATTCAAAACCATATGCAGACCAGATTATTGACTCAAAATGACAGACGTACAACATTGAATTATTCTCTTATTTCTTAAACACTTTGCACTTTGTACTGGCCGTGCTCTAAACTGGTGGCAAGGTGACTCAAATAGAAAACAAATTCATTTTTATATATTTTACGATGCTTATCATGTTGTCTGATTAAATCATATAACTGTAGAGTTAGTAACAACAACAACGACAACGACAACGACAACGACAACAACAACAACAACAACAACAACAACAACAACAACAACAACAACAACAACAACAACACCAAAGCAACAACAATAACAAAAACATCTAAAAATACACAACCGCCACCACCCCCAAACCCCCCCCCCCCCAAAAAAAAAGAGCCTATTTATGACTTTTGTTAATTCGATCTTCTGTGCACAAGTCGCTTGGATACCGATCCACTTGTAATCTGTTTCTTTCAGTTTATATGGCTTTGTATGAAGTATAGCCCATTTGACATGTCTGTAAAATTAATGTATAACTACAGGTCTTCATTTAATAAGTAAATAACATATGACTTGAGAAAGTAAATGTTTAAACAGGCAGACGACAACACACCTAGCTCATTATCTTACTATTTGAAGAAGAATCACACGCCCGAAATCAAAATGCTTCAAAATAAATATAAAAAAGAAAGAAGTTCAAACAAAACGCCAAGCATGTATTTTATATCCACACTTTTTATGAGTAGGGGATATAATTTTGTACACCATAAATGTCGCAGGGAGTTTACTTACCTGTAAATATTCTTATATATTCTTTATTATGTTAACTATTCATTTCATATTTGCATGAGTGTTGAAATTTTGAACATGGTTTACTTACGCACTTGTATTTTTCTGAACAGACTTTTAGATAACAGCAATCTGATTATTTTTACCTTATTGGTATCTAGGATGGTTTGCTCAAACAGTTTGAAAATTTTGATTATACGGGATTTCTTTCTTTATTGTAATATAATTAACATTTCTAGTATCCTAAATGTAAAATACAACATTACTTCTACATAGCGGCCATCTGGAGTGCAGTCACCTTTTTACAACAACAGCACAATTGTTACAAAGTGATTCTCAACAATAAATATAAGTTTAATCTCTGATAAATTTAATCTCTGTAAAGCAACAATCAAATGTTTTACTTCTTATTTTACAATCAGGCTTCTATTTTATTTAGAAAGGTGAGTAGGTAACATCCTCTTTGACACAACATGTACACACACTGAATATTTTACCAACTTTTGATGTTAGTAAGTCATTTAAGCCATCAGGAATGTTTTCAGTTCGATATATCCTGACTTTTTTGTCCCTTTCAGATTAATTAAAACGCAATTATGTCATTGTACAGTTGTTTTTTCTCATCAAACAATCGGTACTCCAGTTCAAGATATACCTATACCGGATATGGGAACGGCTCTGGTAACAGGTCAAGCAGACGTCGGTTTGGCTTTGCAAGGTCTAGCGTAACATCGTATGATGATAATACTTATTTCTACGGTAGAAACAGAAGGAGGCCGCATTATTGGGAGAGAGAACGAGAGAGGCGTAACAACTTGAACAGAAACAGAAACAATAGACGTAATAGACGAAGATCTCCATCCCCAGGTTTGTATAGTTTTTTTTTCGATAAAGTCCATATTCTCCCCAATGTTTGTAATAAATTATTACACGATAAAGACCACAATTGCCCGAATCCCATTCATTGCAACCAAAGAAAATTCAAAAATGGTGAAATTTCAGTTTATTTGAGTTTTTCTGTTGTTCATTGTTGCATATTGTTATAATGTTTATGATAACTACGGACTATTTACTTGATTGCATTACAGTTGTTATGACTGTCCTCTTTTGGTGAGTTCTCATAGTCATTCAGCTCAATCAGGAACACTTAGAAATACTTTAAAGCACAAAATAGTGTTGACTCAAGAAACTCAAGCTGGTAAGTCATTAGAAAATTAGAGGACATTACTGATCTGTATCATTATCTTATTAAATTTATGTTAGAAAAAGTGTTGTTTTATTTAGTCATGAACAAATATTTGTTGTTATAGAAACACCACCTTCTCGACCACCCAAACCGGTTATTCCAAAAGAAGAGCTCGCAAAAGAGCTACATTGTAAAGACGTTGATCTTCATATAGAAACGAACACAAAGAAACACAGGTATGATTCAAGGCATATTCATTTTCAACAATATTAGATATATAGAGGATAAGTGTAACTTCAATACTGAATGAATAAAAGTATTTTATGCCAGCCTCCAGCGATGTCTGACGGAAATAGTTCGGAAACTCTCGCCAGCGAATCAGTAGTGTAACAATGATTTAATCTTTCTATTTTTTGAACAGGCAGATTTTTATTTCTATTTTTAGAACGGACGACTATGATTGTACAAAGAAGAGAAAGGTTAATGGTAAAGTAGAGGAAGCTGAACTTGTGGTTCGTCGTGGAGACAGCATTAAAATGACACTCACATTCGACAGGCCGTACAGTAAAGAGAAAAATGACCTGAAACTTTGCTTTTCTTTAGGTAGATGATTGTAGGGCATGTCATATATAAGCATTTGCATACCAGTTGTTGTCTATATCAACACAAATCCACGCGCATTCGTCGACATATTTTCTTTTCTAAGTTTTTGTTTCTTTAGAATTTGTTACTACTTCTGAACACAACGAATGCGTCATGATTCTAATATCATACCAATAAAAAAAACATGCACATTCGTCTCCTTATTTTCTTTCTAGTTTTTCTTATTATTTTAAAATTTGTTTCTTAAAAATTAGTTACTCTTTCTTACCTAAGTAAGTAAACCACATCAAATGATTCAGGCTAACATTATCATACATTTGAGGCCAATAATAATTCATGTCGATGAAATTGCCATAGATTAATACATTATTTGGAGATACCCTAAGAGCAATGAAGATAAAATTAAGAGTGCAATATTGATGCTATTGAGTCATTTATTAGAGACACGAGAAGCATAATTAAAGACAACAACAGTTACTATTTCTCCCTATAGCAAACGCCGATTTATTTTATTCCCGTTTTCAGGAGAGAATCCATTGCCATCTAAGGGAACCAAGAATGTATTTGAAATAGATGAGTCTGGAAAAAAGAGTTTCAAATCGCATGAATGGGGAGCAACCCTGGTGGACAAGAAAGGAAATGACGCCACTTTATTGGTAATTTATTTCAATTTTCAAAAGAAACACAACTGTATAGTCCTTTTCTGAAAGCAGCCGTTTCAGCAGCTTTGTTTCCAGAATATTAGCCAATAATTTAGTTCTGTCTGTCACCTCCGCCCTGCTTTGCATAATAATGATTTTGTTTTCGCGCCAAAAAAAACGGGGAGCATAAAGGCAATTTCCAGGGATTTGATCATGTAACTGACCTGGCTTGTTGAGGCCATTTGCAGGGATATGATAATTTTAAAGTTCTCCAGGTATTCTTTGGGGACTGGATGGGGACGTTAGCAACAAAGGTCAGATGCACATTGTTAAAGGCACATATAAAGGTTTAAATGGTAATCATGAATGCATTACTTGTATGATTACTTAATAAGTTTTGAGGGTTTCTTTGGTCCAAGTTTAGATTTCCGATTTCAGTACTCCTTTGAAGCAGAGTTACTTCTAGTACCTAAAATTGTAGAAAAGATATTTGGAATGACAGTATTTGATAAAATATCTTTTTTGTGTCCTCATAAGGATCATTGAATCTAATTTGAGATGTTTGTTTTTTACGATTTAGTGATTGGAGCATGTCCTACATCAATATTGTGTTATATATCAACAGTTTAAATTTACAGCTTTTGTGGAAATAAAAATATTAAACCGTCATATTCAAGAGAGGCTTTCATTTTTTTTTAGATTTCTATCCCTGCAAATTGTATAATAGGAGAATGGAACTTTTACGTGGTGACAGTAAGTGAGGGGAAGGACAAACAAGGAAATCCGCAAAAAATAACGAAGAATTTTGAGATAGAGGACGACGTCATCATTCTTTTTAATCCCTGGTGTAAAGGTAGACACTTTTTCAAGGACAATCTCGCCTTCTAGTGCCATCGTTTTGCACAATACATGCGCATAAATATAGTTGATGCCATTTTAGTAAATTTTAAGTAAACTACTTTCAAAATATGCTGATACATGTAATCATAGATTTCTTAAATGAAGTTTTGTAGAATCACTAAAGATCATTGAGTGCGCATCTTATTTAACGCTGTATTTATTTCAAACACGTAGAAATACTATGTCTTTCTAATGTTTATACTGGCCGCAGCAAGTAGGGAATTGTTAGCCCAAGGCGTTGAATCATGTAGCTTTGTGGAATCACTTCTTTCAGAACAATTTTACCATCAAATATTTTTCGCAGCAGGTTTCATAAACTTTTAGAATAAAATCAGTATTTTGATTAGTTCCGAAATTTTTCTTGTTGCTGGTGATTTCACCATAGCAAGCATTAATATAAATAAATTCTAAGTTTGAATATGATTACAGATGATGAGTGCTACATGAAGGACGAAGCCGCACTTGACGAATACATTCTAAATGACATTGGAGGCGTATGGAGAGGGAACGCCTACCAGTATTCCCCTAAACATTGGAACTTTGGGCAGGTATATTAGCTTTCAATGAATAATTTAGATAAAATTTGTCCTTAATAAATAAGATCTGGCCAAAAAGGGAAATTTGGAAATATGTTCTGAATGACCAGCAAACAGTGTAGCCCATGATCAGACGACACAGATGTGGTTGCTTATCTTTGAGTGCACATGTTGCATGAATATAATAATGTCGGCACTAGCATGCTAAGAATTGAACCTGCAAGTTAAGTTAGTCTGGTTTTGTTTTGGCGCCACATCAAGGAGTACATGTCTAACTCACGATGCAATGGCATTTGATTTGCTTCAACCACATCTGACTGTCCCCACATGGCATGTCTTTTTTATATGGGTCTGAAAATTCACGAGTCTTCCTTGGATTAATTGCCTGACCTGTAATAAATATGTCTGATTGAACATCATTTATTCCAGAATAAATTCCTGATCAACACATAGAATCTCTAACATATAACGCATGAGCCTTATCCACATAATATGATCATATATATTGTGAATTCTAAAAAGTATGGATATTATTCGTCTTTACATCTTAATTAACATATATTTCTCCGTGTCATGAATAGACTACAAATGTCCATACAAGAAAGGACATTTGGTTGTTACTTATTCTTTTAATATCCAATAAAAATGACATTCGAATGTTCAAGGACTTGTCCCGTAAAATAAACAATTTTTTTTTTGTTTTTCAACATCCCTTTTTTCAGTTTGAGGAGGGTATTCTTGATGCAGCGCTGCAGCTTATCAGATTGGGATTCAATTCGAAATTGAGACCAATGTCTGATCCCGTGAAAGTCAGTCGGATGGTTGCAAAAATGGTAGGTTGTATGTATTTACTGAATTTTTGTCTAATCTCTTCTGCTATCATGCTGTCTATATCTGACTTTTTGTGGCAGAGATTTGTTAAAATAATTTTGATTTTTGAATATCTGTTCAACTTTTGTTTGTCGACATCATGCGGATAAAATATGATAAACAAGATCAACAAGGAAAGGCGGCGTTCAATGAACGCAAACCCACACGATCTAGCAGCTTTCTAGCACTTCCTTGGATTGATTTTGGAAGCTACAAAATGTAGTTGGCACATGAATCGAACCATATATAAATCAGACAGCTAGTTGGATAGCTTTACCACATGAAGGAATGTATAAATGTCACTTTAACAAATCGGTTTGCATGTAAAATAGTACGGAATACAATTCGTCCGAATTTTTTAAACTGTAACAATTCAGTCACAGAAACTTGTTAAATACAGTAAAATGTTGAAAAGAAAGTGTACTATAGTTATCATGTTAGTGAAATATTTCAGGTGAATGCCTCAGATGACAATGGGATTTTAGTCGGAAACTGGTCTGGCGATTACGCTGATGGTAAATCGCCCACATCATGGGTAGGGAGTGTTAAAATCATTCAACAATGGCAGAAGAGTGGTCCAGTAAAATACGGACAGTGCTGGGTGTTTTCATGCGTCACGACAACCAGTATGTTATACCTTGGTTTGCATAGAATACTTTGTAATCCCTTGTTAAAAGCATTTTATCGACTAGTTATAAGTGGCATTCAAAACTAAATTTAAACATATGTTCATATTGAAAGTTTCTCGTTTGTTTCTCTATGATTTGGTCGTCATAGTCAAGTTTTAAAACATTATTTTTCTATAGTCTGCAGGGCACTGGGTCTTCCGTGTAGGACAGTTACAAACTTTTCATCAGCACACGATAGCGATCAGAGTAACTGCATAGAAAAATATTTTATGAAACAAAACGGCGCTGATGAGCCTATCAACTACGATGGAAGCAGTGACTCAGTCTGGTTTGTACAATTGTCTTTTTGTCTTTTATTTTTTGAAAATACATCCACTTTTCATGTTACAAAAGCTTTAATATCAAATATCCATTTAAACTTAAAAAGTGCTAATTCAATGTGATGAAGGTTATGGTTTCGCCGTATGAACACATCTGCGGATGTTTCTAAATTCAAAATTATACCATTTCATGTTTAAATGTTGAATTCTGCTTAAGCCGGTGCTAGGGGGCGTGGACGGTAACTTGCACTTTCCAGTACCGTCCATGAACAGGCTCAATCAAACCGAGCCTGCAACATTTTCAATTTTGCCGTGTTGGGCTTTCTTTAGGGATTCTGTATTTATCTATTTTTTTATTTGCTTTCTTTTCAGTAGTTAAAATGACAGTTTTATACATGTATTTCCACCTGCATGTATGTACATAATTAACATCCATCGTTCAGCATTAAAATAGTGTTGCGTTCAAAGTGTCTTAAGACATCCCCCCTCTTTTTTAAACAAAGCGCTCTTGGTATTTTTTTTTATTTTGTATTGTATTTTTTGACGTTCGTCTATAATATGAGCTCCTTATTTCACCTGAACTCCGTTCAAAGTCCAGTGTTGTTCATTGTTTTCTCGTTTATGACACACACACACACTATTTAGATAAGGCATCTTACGCCACCGTAAAACATTTCATGGTTTCATGATAAGCGTCGTATGAATACGTCTATGGATGTCTCTTAATTCTTAATTTCGTCATTGTCATTATAAATGTTGACTACTGTTTAGGCTGGTGTAAAGGGGCGTCACGGTGGCTAGCTTTTACCGCTTCATTCCATGAAGAGGCTCGCACACACTGAACCTGTTACATTTCCAATTGTGACGTTGTTGGCGTTCTCTGATGATTCTGTTTGTATTCTTTATTTCCTACTGAAGATATTCCGAAATTGCCTTCATATAAGTACTTTTTAAGAATCTTCTCCGTTTCCCATTTTTTAAGAACACGTATTATTATTGAGTGTAAAACAATATTTATCTTTCAAGGAATTTTCACGTCTGGAATGAAGTTTGGATGGCTCGGAACGATCTTTTTGACTTTACAGACCCTGGTTGGCAAGTAATCGATGCAACACCACAGGAGACAAGTGAAGGTTAAGTAATAGAAAGAGCACTGAAACACGAGGCTATCTGATTTGTACGAGGGGGCGTAGCCCCCGAGTATATATCAGATTGCCGAGTGTTTTGGTGTTGTTTCTCTTTTGTATCATAGTCAAACATAAAAGCACGTTCCCTGTTGTCACAATATGAAACCCCGGCAAAAATGAACCAATGAACGAACATCTGAATATGACATTTCTGTCGCTTTCCCTTTCTCTGCCGTCACAATATGTAAACCCCATAAAAAATAAGCCAATCAATTGGCATGCTCTGGAGTGCGGGTAACTAATACCCGCACTCCAGTTAACGCACTGTGCATGTATATGTATACGATTTAACCCTGACACATTTTCAACAGAAAGGTCTCCGAACTATGATACAATTTCTATAACATCTTTTTCAAGTTATGTCTTCATGACAAGATATATCAACTTAACATAACAACTTTTTTTTTCTTTTCTACAATTTGGATTAATATGTTTCAGGACATTAAAAAATAGTTACACTTAAAATGACAAAAAGCAGGCAATTCTAAAACAATGTCAACATATAAAAAAATAAAAATAAAGATGCACTTAGTATGCTTTTATCATAACTGAATAAAGTAAGTAAACCGTGTTATATTCATAACAATATAACAGATTTATAATTGTATACTTACAAAAGGTGTGTATACATGCGGTCCGTGTCCGGTTACTGCTATACGGAAGGGCATGTGTCGAACTAATTATGACTGCGGATTCATCTTCTCGGAGGTGAATGCTGATGAAATCCATTGGAGAGTACTCCCGGATGGAAGTCTGGAACGACTCAAATTTGATAAGAAAAAGTAAGTTGTTTTAATCGTCATTTGAGAGTAACAGAAAAAATCATTCATGTGATATACGCAGGAATAAATTAGTAGGAAATTAGAAATTAGTAGATGTGATTAGAGGTTAAGCGTTTAGTCAAATGACTGTATTTTGAAAAAAATAAAGCACAATCTATATTGAATGAATAATTAAAGTTGATTAACGCCATGTCATATGAATGATATCATTAAAAATATCAGTGTTTATTGAAGAATGGAATACCAAATATATGTAATTGGAAAAAGTAGCTGAATATAATGATCATTGCAAATATATGGTTATGCTTATATTGTGAAACAAATAATCTATCAATTAGTATTGTCTAAGAATACTTTACTAGTTTTATTATGATACTGAACACTTCATTTCCATAATTTTTAATATCTTCTGAATAAGAGTGAAATATTTTTCCCCGTGAACTTGAATATCATTTTCTATTGTCACAGGATTGGTAAATATATCAGCACAAAGAAGCCAGATGGTGGATGTGTTGGGTACGGCAATTCGGATCGTTTCGATCTAACTTTAGATTATAAGCCACCAGAAGGTAAGATTTGTGTATAGATAAAGGTTTTATATCTAAAATCTCCTTGATTCTATTTTGCTTAGAAAAGGCCACTAGTATAGAGCCAGCCAAACCTGCAAATGTGTGAAGTGTGGTTAGCCTCTATACTGTTGACAACATAAATTTTGCAAATCAATTCTGAAATCCTTTAAAATTGAAATGTACTTATCAAAATGAAAAGCAAGCAAATTTTCTTAGACAAATTTTGCAAGTTAAAGAATAACATTTGCCACCAGAAATGAGTATTTCCATACAGTCAGACCAAGTTAAAAGTACGAGATGAATTATCAGGTTTTTTTATAACAAAGCTGCTTTACGTGTATTACACCCTGCTATTGGGGTGCAATCTGCCATTGGAGCGTTTAATGAAACAGCTAGTGTTGCATGTATCCCTCTAGCTACTAAAAACTTTAATGATTACGATATTGTTTTAACCCATTACGTTATATACACACATTTTAACGCCTTTTTCACCCCCTTTTTAATGTCTCAAATGGTGAAAAAATGCCTTATTTAGGCCTCAACACTTGTTTTTGTTTGAGAAATGTTGTTAAAAAGATGACCTCTTTCTTGGCGCGGCATCCCAACCAAAAAATACATAAGAGGGTTGCCAGAAGGGGTATATGCCCCCTTCTGTTTGAGGGTTTCGAAGGGGGGATGCGGAGTCCCCCTCATCGACAAGAAAATTTTGGACTTGTGAGAGGCTATAAATGACCCCAAATTGATCATAAGGTAACGTGTAACCAACGCTGAAAAGCATTCGAATTTATCTCAATCCATTGAGAAGTTGCAGCACTTTGAAATCAATTTTGATGGAAAAAAATCAACGCAAAATAGTGATTTTTGGGAAAATTTGAGATGTCCCCTCGTTGCCATGGTAACAGAAAATTTAAAGTCAGAGCATGTTAAGCAAGGGCAATGGTCCAGTCAAGCATTTGTGCCAAGTTTGAATAGTGTTGAAGCAGTTTTTATAGAATTATAGCAATTTGAACTTGTAACTGGAGACTTTTCAATGAAAACAGCCATTTTTCGCAAAATGCTCATGGAGTAATGGGTTAACAAAAAAAAAAATCAAAAAATCTACAAAACAACAATTTTTCTTCACATTTATATGACAGGTCATGTTGCAACATGAAAAACGCAATTTAGGTTAATTTCAAGTATTTCCATCATGTTCATCACGACGAATATGTTTATGGTCATATGGTCATTCACATATTTTCTTGTGTTGTTGGATGGAGACCTCAATTTTACTCTCTGGTACTTTGCAATACTAGAAATCAATTGTTATCTAGTCATAAGGTAAGAAGTTAAACCTACACTGTCAATGTTGGCTTGTGTCGGGAAGGACATCAGTCGCCCCTCTACTCATTATCTCAGACTGAGAAGAACCATTGACCTTCTGCGATTAAACGGGATTGTTTCATAACATGAAATAATACAAATTTCAAACTGAACCAAAGAAGTTATAGGTAAATATTTCTAGGGCATTAACCATTCGGCCACGGAGGAGGTCCTTGAAATTAGGATTTCTAATTTTGATATAATTGTATACAGACTAAGTAAGAGTGTTGGAACGAGTTTTGATTAACCTGACATATTATATTTAATTTATTATTATAAAATTGCAGGATCAGCGGAGGAAAGAGAAACTGTAATGAACGCGCATAACACAGCGTTCCAACGTAAACCTTTTGCATATGCGGAAAAGGAAAACGAAAAGGTAAATAGACACAATATATAATATTATGATCATCACAGGTCGTAACCAGGAGGTTCAAAAAGAATATTTGCTAACTGGAATGAACTCAAACAATGTTTACAATATATTATTCTTTTAACACTTTAGGAGCTCATATAACGAAGTCCCAGTAATGATAAATTGTTGACTTTTACTCTATAATACCTTTCACGGAGGATATAAAATGAGTGTTGGCCCTATACTGAATACTGTTGAGTTGAATTGATTTATATAATGCAAGCCTCCGTTAATTAAGTAATTAACCTACACGAATATAATATTATATTTATCACATACCTGAAAAAAGACTGTTTAAAGTGAAAAAGAATAATTTATAATTGAAGCGCATATAGTGCGACGCTAAGATTTTAGCACGTTTGTATAACGTCACACTTATGTTTGTATAACGCAAATTAAGTCAGTCAAAATATATGCATAACGGTGAAATACCTTTTTTTACGGAGTCGCAAAAACGGTACGGGTACGTGATGAAACTCATTGATGTATGGTTGAATATACATAATGAATTATATATTAATTGATTATTGTAATAGTAAAGATTAAAGATCGAACTGTGAATCTTTAACTATAAGCCTGCTGGTTGAGACTGAATCTACCATGTGACCGGTGCAGACAGAGTAGCATGATCTGCACTGTTTGCTATTCACTCAGTTTATTTCAAGTTTTCCCCTCAGATGAAAAACAACTTTGTCTAGATTTAAATCTAGATTGGTCCAAATAACATATCTTACCTTTTGAAGCTGTAAAAGGATAAAAAAACTTGAAATGTTATGAAGATTTGTCATGTCCCAAACTATTAACCGTCAAAGATAGAGGTATACGGTCTTTATGTAAAGATTGGATGTGTCTCCTTTTTAAAAACATCTTTGTAAAGTTCGTCATTTAACACAGCAAATCGTGAAACGGTAAATAGTACAACATACAAGTATCAGATTTGTAGACGAAAAAAAAAATCGCAATAAGTAAAACGCACATATACGTATCAAATTTTGGACAGTTATTAAACAAGTGGACTTGCTCCTGCTAAACAAAATGTATGCATATCTAATAAAAAGGTACTGAAGCGCATTTTAACAAATCTATTATTCATTTATGATTGACATTGTACCTTTTACATTATCCAGGCTGTCAAATTTCAATTAACTCATAATGATAATTGTATGATTGGCGGTAAAATGGTGATAGAAGTAAAGGCGAAGAATGAATCTAATGTTGAGCGTGACCTAAAATATGTTGGTATTTTTGTTGCACCGACATCATACACTGGTGCGCGTGGTGATACCTTTTTCAAGAAGTACTTTGGAAAATCTTCTTTAAAACCAGGAGAGGGTACTTATTGTTGTTTTAGTTTTACTTTTTGTTTTAATTTGTATTTGTGACAAACAGTGTAATTACTTTGTAAAATTTCCAGTTAGTCATGAATAAATTACTCGGTTTGAGAGAGAGTTTTAACATACTCAGACAAATCTTCTATCAATCCAAGACAATAGTTAATCAATAAGTCTCCATTGTTCAGACATCTTCAATAAAGAATGTTTTATCAATTAAAAGCAATAATAATTGAAATAGATTGTAATAATTTCTTCAAATGTTAAATTATTGACCGTCGTTTAAATTTAATCTTTGATCTCATCCACAACACAGTTCCTTTGGCCGTTCCTGAATACATTTCCTTTTATTATTACTGCAAAAAAATACAGTAATACTTTTGACTTTTACTAAACATCTTGAGACTGAAACTTTATCAAAATTTGATAAAAGTTGAATATTTCCATGCAAAATGTCTATTGATAAAGATAAACTACAAAACAACAAACAATACTTCAGTGCTGTTATATAATAAATGTTTACTTTTTGATGTATTAGGTCATATTTTCAGAAAAAGTTTTTAAATCCCTTCTGGATCCTGAGGATTATTTAGATAAACTTGTTGAACAAGCCAGCGTGTCAATCGTTGCTGTAGGTAAAGTTGCTCGAAAAGGTAACCTGTATACTGCTGAGAAGATGAAGAAGGAGCATCAAGTCAGGTTTCGACGACCTGATATCAAAGTTGAGGTTTGTAACTGCTGTCCAGTTGTTGCGAAAGGACAATGTTACCATAAGATTAATAAAAGACTATAAGGTCACTATGTTTGACATCAGTGCCTGTCATTTAGGATCATGAGCTTACCGTCAATTTGTTGTGTCGAACATAATTGAATTTCATATTTTCTTTACTATTTGTCTTCTAATGCATTATTTGATTTTCACATTTTCATTCCTATTTGTCGTGTTGGGCATAATTTGATTTTCACATTTTTATTCCTATTTTTCGTGTTTGGAAAATTTGATTTTCACGTTGACTTTTCTATTTGTCGTGTCGGGCATCATTCGATTTTCACATTTTTATTTAGTATAGTTTTATAAATCGGTTAACCTCTGTTACATGTATACTAGTTAATTTAACTAGCGTATTTTCAAGTTAATAAAATCTGTGACATCGGACTTTGACATACATAAACGAAGAACTATTTTTCTTAACAATCTAATGCGTAAGGTATGTTCAGAAATGTATATGATAAAAGGCGAGGTATGATAGTGTGATGTTCAGATAAATTAATCGTGTTACATATACCAGGAACAATAACATGTGTTGTTGTGTATCCGAAAGTAGTCAAATAACGTGACGTTGGTTGCTTTTGTTTTATTTGTTTGTTTGTTTCATTTTACGTCTTTTCCAACAGTATTTCAGTCATATAGGCGGGTAGTTTCCTAATCATCGTTCCTGAAGAGTTACACCAGTACAAGACTACCTTCCTCCTTGCTAAACTACCAAGCCGAATCTTTTTCATTTACATGTATTTATATATTTGATATCTTCATTAAAAAACATTCAAATCAATTGTTGAATACAATAAATGATTTTCTTTTTCTTATTATTTTAATGATATATTGCATGGTTTTATAATAATTATATTTCAAAAGTGCCCAAAGGAAGCTCATGTAGGTGATAATGTGAAGTTTGTAATCAGTTTTGACAATCCGCTAGAGAAAGCACTCACATGCTGCAGTGTGTCTATGGAAAGTGTTGGTTTCACTGATTTTGATGATGCCCCTGAAGTGTAAGTATATAATGCTAGTCAATGTCACTAAGGTGAGATAGTGCAGAGAATTCTTCATGTAGGCTGTATCATTTGAAATACATATAAAAATGACATAAAAACGCTATTAAGACATACACAAACATTTGTTCAAATTATATTGTTCTGTATATAAAACTTTGTGAAATTAGCAATATTATTGATATACACAGTGTACAAATATCAAAAATGCAATACAGCAATGGTATAAGGTGTGAAGGTTAAGGCATTGTTTGCATATCTTGCGATATTTCAGGTAAGTCTGGTGGATAGTGCGTATTCACTGATCAGTACAATTTTTGTCCTACTTTGAATGATACATAAAAATAACATCAAAAGAAAAACGGAATGGCATCAAACGTTAGGCATGATATATTAATGATTAATCCTTTAATGGATGAATCGGTCTTATTTGTCAATAAACATATTTTGGGGTCCTGTTATTTTGGTTTTGAATAGCTTTTCTATCTTTATAAAATGTTTGATATTCAAAGTTATCTTGCCTTTTCCATTTTTTTCTCTTGCGTATTAACAATACAATATTTGATATACAGAACGAACAATCATGTTATAAGCTTAGTGCCTGTATCAACACAGTCTAAACCAACCTTTTTTTCCGGCAACCCATTGCCTATTCGAAAATTCATCAGTAACCTAAATTGTGCACAGCTAAGATATTGAAAGGATATTATTAGTTTTATATAGTTGATTTTTCACCTAACAAATTTATACTGCAAAAGTACTGTATGTAATCAATGATGTATATACGTATGTTTTTCAGAGATGTGCCGCCAAAGACTACATACAGACGAGAGTTCACTATGCCCGCTGTTAAAGCAAAGAAGAACGCCGCTGTTAACTTTAGCTTTGAGTGCAAAGAAATCCCAGACATATCTGGCACAGCCACGATCCGCATTGTATCGTAAATTTACAAAACTTTAACTGGACTAAAGTGACAATTTAAATGACAGAAATATTGATAACTTTTGTATGGTTTATTCGCCTTAATAACCCTTTGCAGGATTTGCTTTTCTGTAAATACATTTCAAGTTTTAGGGAGAATGACTAATAAAATGGTTTAATTTACTGATATATATTAACATATCTATTTATTTTGTATACTTTTATTTTTGAATACATTATTAATAAGATAATTTTTCAAATCTTCTTTCATTCGTGAAGAAGAAAATGTTACCTTCTTAAGTTGTTAGCAGTTTTTTCTTGTAAATTTGAATATATTTGAATCTAGTGAATCATAAATATGTACATGATATTTTCGTTTTAAGTGTTATAAACATATTGTTAATCATTCTTGTTTGTATATATAGCCATTAATCTTGGTTAAGATATGCATCATTTCAATGATTTGAACATTTGATACATAACAATTAATTATGTGAATTTACTTAAATTCGTGGGGTTTTTGTCAAAAAAAATTCTTTTGTGGATTCTTAATTTCTTTGATTTTCTGTTTGTTCAAAAGAAATAAAATGCACAAAAAAACTTTTTAAAAATATTTGCACCGCAGACTTAATAAGATTTTGTTTTATTTGAAATTTGTGAATTAATCTATTGGGGAAAAACCCCACAAAAATTAGTGCCCCACGAATAATAATGATTCTACAGTAATTTGATTATAATGTTTTTACACTTCATTGTTCTGACGCAGTAAGTAAACATTTGGAAACAAACTTTATTCACATTTTGCTACTTGCTTGTAAAGTGAAAGGGCAAGAAAAGTTTTGCATTCTTGTATTAAATAATGCAGTTTAATGCAGTTTAATTTTAAACTCATCAACGTATTAAACATATATCTGTACTTTCCTATAGATTGTTGTCTTTTTCTCAATAAACGCTTAAAGTTATATTTTTATGGCATACACATGCATAATGTCTACTGTACTTAATCATGTAAAACTATTGATTGAAACAGATGTCTATATTATCAACGACTATATGATCTTCCGTTCGTTCTCCAATAGTACTTTTTATAAATACCCGTCCGTGCCTGAAATAATGCACGGAAGGGCACCTGAGGTCTTCCTCCACCAATAAAGCTGGAGCGTCGCGATATGACCTATACTGTGTCGATGTGACGTAAAACCCAAAAACAAACAAACAAAAACTTTTTATAAATTGTTTTTCTTTACTGAAAAAAAAAAATATTTGAGGTAATCAGTTAAAAAAATACTTCTAGAACAGGACTAGTGTTAATTTTATTCTAACATGTATGATTGTTCAATTGATTGAAATATTTGTTCATTTTACATAAGTTTATTTTCAAATTTGATTTTTCTTTTTCTAAGATGAATACTTAAGTACATATTTTCTAAGGTAATGTCTAAAGAACATACACATACTTATTTAGTCTTTAATAGATATAAACTTTACTTAAACATTATTGATTGCTGATACAGAATGTTAACATTGTCTATCATAGTGACCATATGCCATGTATTTTGTAAATGTATTTTGTACAACGATATGTACAAGTTGAAAATAAAATCATTTTCCTTCTTCTTCTCTTAAAACTTATTAGGGGACAAACACAGTTTACAAAGATTTTGCTAGGGAGACCATAATTACGTTAAATTATTAAAAAAAATTATAAAATGTTTATTGTTTGTAACATTATTAGAATCAGGCTTTTGGCTCCTTCTATTACATTTATGATACGTTTTGTACATTATACTATTTTCTATAAAAAACCATTTTATTAAAAACCTATTTTTCTTTGAATAAATCTCTTTCACAATATGTAATTTTTGTGCTGATCTATTTTCCATTACACCAACAACTCTATAAAGAAGTGATTTCCATTTGATTTAACTTTTAAAATCTACGATACACAGTACCAGAATACGTGTTTAGTTTATAATTACTGTCAGTTTGAAAAAAATATAAGAATACAAAGAACTGTAGCAACTAACTCTTCATTTGCTTCATCAAAGATTTTGACTTCAAACTTCACCAAATGTAACGGATTTGCCTTGTTTTGAATCTGGAATAGTGTATTCAAAGTGAAAGGGTTTCAATATTAAAATTAAAAGAAATGACCTACCAATAGTATAGAGCCTGGTTCATTCAGCACACCTGTGCAAGGCTTGCCTGGCTTTATTGTGATAGTAAAATCTGACAGATGATCTCTTTCAATTTTCCAGAAAGTTTAGGGTTAAACCTATTGTTTTGCTTTGTGAGCTATATTAACCCATTACTTCATGAGCATTTTGTGAAAAATGGCTGTTTTCATTGAAAAGTCTCCCGTTACAAGTTCAAATTGATATAATACTATAAAAACTGCTTCAACACTAATCAAACTTGGCACAAATGTTAACTGGACCATTGCCCTTGCAACAACATGCTCAGGCTTAAATTTTCTGTTACCATGGCAACGAGGGGACATCTCAAAATTGCCAAAAATCACTATTTTGCATTGATTTTTTCCATTATAATTGATTTCAAAGTGCTACAACTTCTCAATGGATTGAGATAGAGTCAAATGCTTTTCAGCGTTGGTTACACGTTACCTTATGATCAATCTGGGGTCATTTATAGCCTCTCACAAGTCCAAAATTTTCTTGGCGATGAGGGGGACTCAGCCCCCCTTTAAACCCCCCAAACAGAAAGGGGGCACATCCCCCTTCTGGCAACCCCCTGATGTATATTTGTTTGGGGGCCGCGCCGAAAAAGTGGTCCCTTTTTTAACAACATTTCTCAAACAAAAACAAGTGTTAAAGGGCCTAAATAATGCATTTTTTCACCATTTGAGACAACAAAAGGGGGGGGGGGGGTGAAAAAGGCGTTTAAAGGCGTGTATATGAAGTAATGGGTTAACAAACTGTTTTATGATAAAATGATAAATATTGTTAAACAATCAAACTAGTGCAAATGAGACACAAAATCTTTTTTATTATAACAGTACTGGCGATATGTATCATAACATAAATAGTCAAAGATATTTAAAAAGGTCATTTAACATCTAAAAAATGTCGTAGAATGAGGATGATGTTTTTGGCTTAAGGATCAACAAGTCCGTTTAGAATATTTGGCGCGGTAAGGAATATTGTAAAATCACCCTTTCGTATTTTGCCTGCTTTTTATATTTCTATTTGTATTTTTGCGACATAAAGGTTATATGCAGGTTTCATAACCTCTGATTCCATTTTAAAATTTCAATTAAATTCACTCCCTCTTATTGTTTTCTTTCTTGTTTATGACAAACGCTTACCTTTACTTGGTGACCAAACGCCGCTTTTCACGGAGTGGCATATGCGCGTCACATTCAAGGTTCAATGATAAACTCTATATGATAGCATCTGCTGATGTTCTTTATCTATAAATTTAGTGTTTAAATTTCGTTTAAGCCGGTACAAAAGTACGGTAGCTTTTATTCACCTAAAACCAAGACTGCAACATTTAATAAAATGTCATTCTGGGCGTTCGTTAAGGTTTTTGTTTGTTTCTGCCATTCAAGGATGGCTAATGTTATTGCTCATATCAGTTAAAATATATGACAACTGTGTGCAGTAATAAAGTGGCATATCACTTCAAACCACAGTGCTGCTCAATAAATAAATTATAAATGAAGTTTGTTTGTTTGTTTGAGTTTTACGTCACACAGACCAGTATAGGTCATATGGCGACGATTCGGCTTTACTGGTGGAGGAAGACTTCAGTTGCCCTTCCGTGCATTATTGTAAACACGAACGGGCACCTGAGTAGAACCACCGACGTTCCTCACATGAAAGAATCCAATGTCGGTATTCGAACTCACAGCGGTAAGGGGCAAGTGGTTTAAAGTCAACGACCTTAACCTACCGCCACGGACGCCCCACTATTAATGATGTGACAGGATTATAAAATAAATGCCTCCATAGTAATTACTGCCATAATGTTATACAAAACTAGCCATTCCAGATTAAAAGATTAAAAAATCGTTAATAAATGGCCTGATTAAGAAAAAGTACACATCACTGAGGGCCTCCTCACTTTAGAGAGATTGTCCATAGGCGTTGACGTACAGAAGCCATAGATTGAAGTCCGACTGACAGTAGGTCAGTATAATGCTATGAGGTCAGGAATGTGTTTGACATATCCCACTCATACAATTTGCTTAGAAAGATATCATATAGCTTAAATGACAGCGTTTAAAAATAAAGGGACTCCATTTTGTTTTTTGTCTTGATTCGACTAAAAATAATTTTTTCGAGATTAATTTTCCATTTGTGTCATGTTGGTCTATTTCTTTTAAAGGTCCAAACCAATAAATTGTTGGTTTTACTCAAATCGGACTTGAATAATATTACAAAACAACAAAAATTATCAAAATACATTTGTACTTTATTTATATTTATATGAATTTACTTTTTTTTATTCATTATCTTATTCATTTATTTCTTATCATCTTAATGTTTTAATTGCCTCAGCCGATCTATGTAAGAAAATATTTTTTTTTATCTTTTTATAGGCTTTTGGGTCTCAGTGGCGTTCCTTTATTTTTATTCTATGATTTTCAACAATCCTCAATTTTAAACCAGACATAGACAATCAACCGGTACCGTTGACCTAGTTGTTAAGGCGTTCGCCTTCGAATCGGAAGGTCGAAAGTTCGAGCCCCACGGGGAGCTTTAATTGAAGAATGATTGTTTCTCGTGGGACTCGTTCCGAAATGGCCGCTTCGTGGGCCGCGAGGTAATCAAAATAAATTGTTACCGATTTCAATCCGCCTGGCGCCTGGCCTAGTGGTAGGAGTTGGGAGGTACATGGTATGCAAGCAAAGGGTATCTCAGAGGTCAGAATGGCTGGCCCTTTCAGTAAGGATGTCACTATAATAAACAAAACTTTTTATACTTCGCCGTTATACACAAGTATAAAATGTTTCTGTTCAGGCGGCTTCTTTAACATCAAAGGTGATAATACTAAAATCCCATTTTTCCCACTTTTATTATATACCAACATCATCAATTACCCGAAAGTTTAATCAAGTTTAGTATGATTACACTCACATGACATCAAACAATGCACAAATGCAATTAATGAATAATTACAAAATGAATAAAATGCTGAGAAAAAAAACTGCTCTTGTTATATACTGATCGGATAACCAATTATTTTGCGTAGGCATTATGTGCCGTATTGCATTTTATAAATGAGCGGTAAGGACATGATAACATTATGGTTTTGGATTGAATTTACCAAAAATGTCAAATACGACGCAATATGAGGTATCTTGTTGCCTTTCATAAGAAATCATAAGATATTCATACTTATATTAGCCGCGTCACGACAAAACCAACGTAATGGGTTTGCGACAAGCATGGATCCAGGCCAGCCTGCGCATCCACGCAGTCTGATTAGGATACATGCTGTTCGCTTACAAACCCAATTACAAGTAGAGAAACTGATAGCTACAGCATGGACCCTGATCAGACTGTGTGAATGCGCAGGCTGGTCTTGATCCATGCTGGTCGCAAAAGCATTTCGTTGTTTTTGTCGTGAATCGGCTCATCTTATTTGTAGTGTTGGACAGACCTAGCAAATAAAACATGCATGATTCATTATGTGCCGTATTGCATT